GGCACCTTACTTTGTGGGCCTTATGATAAGGATCCCACCTTTTAGGTGCTATAGTAGGGTCCCCTATTTTCGGAAAAGCACATGAAAAGCCCCAGTCCTGGAATGGAACGCTGATGCTGTTGATGGCATTGCTGGCTGCATCATTGCTGGTTCTTGTGATCTCAAGTCGGGCACGTGAGCACGGCAAGAAACCATACGCTCGCTAACGCTTGCAACAACCCGTACCCACATCCAGTTCATAATCGTGGTTTGTAGTACTGTTGTGCCGCAACAGAAGTAGCAACAACGACGGAAACCTGCACCGACACCACCAGCACCACCAACACCAGCATCACCACGAGGAGGACGACGGCTCTACTACTACACTACTATATACCACCACCACTCCTACCACTACTACTGCTAGATGCCGACACTGACGACGAAGCTGCCATAACAACGGTCACAAAAAATGTGAGTAGACGAGTCCCAATCTTCATCGCCTTCACGATGATAGCAACTTCGGTGACATAAGCACATCCACTCTGTGCCGAGTTCTGCACGGTCCACGTCGCTCCTTCCCCACTGTCAGGTTGTAGCAAAGCACCTTTGTGCAACAATCATGCGACATTCGTTTGTTTTCGGTGTTGCAAGGCTGGAAGATGAGCAAAACAAATGCTCCGTTTTTACAAGGGTGCAGGATGAGCAAAGATTCCATGTGAAACGGAGAGATCATGGAGATTCGCCTTTCGAAAGCTTCACCTGCCTCGCTGGCACCATGTCGAACAAGCTGCATGCTACGTTCGCAACCGCATGAGCCTGTTGGAGGTCTCACGGGGTGTAAGCGAAGACATTCCTTCTATGCAGGCTTCTCTGCACCGTGACTGCGAGCTCACAGGCACGGTTCACTGGCTTTCAAGACCTGCTGCGTGAAAACCGGCACACCAAGGAATCAGATGCTTCTTAACAAGCAGAAAGCATCGCAGGAATACCATAAATATCATGGAGTTCCACTATGCTCTGTCGAATGCTTCACCTGGCTCCTTGGCGCCATGTCCAACAAGCTGTATGCTACGTTCGCAGCCACATGAGCCTGTTGGAGGTCTCACGGGGTGTAAGCGAAGACATTCACTCTATGCAGGCTTCTCGTATCGTGACTGCGAGCTCACAGGCACGGTTCACTGGCTTTCAAGACCTGCTGCGCAGTGTAAACCGGCACACCACAAAATCAGATGCTTCTTGACAAGCAGAATCCATCGAGGGAATACCATAAAGATCATGGAGGTGTGCTCTGTCGAATGCTTCCATTGGCTAGCCAGCGCCATATCCAACAAGCTGTACGCTACGTTCGCAACCACATGAGCCTGTTGGAGGTCTCACGGGGTGTAAGCGAAGACATTCACTCTATGCAGGCTTCTCGTACCGTGACTGCGAGCTCACAGGCACGGTTCACTGGCTTTCAAGACCTGCTGCGCAGTGTAAACCGGCACACCACAAAATCAGATGCTTCTTGAAAAGCAGAATCCATCGAGGGAATACCATAAAGATCATGGAGGTGTGCTCTGTCGAATGCTTCCATTGGCTAGCCAGCGCCATATCCAACAAGCTGTACGCTACGTTCGCAACCACATGAGCCTGTTGGAGGTCTCACGGGGTGTAAGCGAAGACATTCACTCTATGCAGGCTTCTCGTACCGTGACTGCGAGCTCACAGGCACGGTCCACTGGTTTTCAAGACCTGCTGTGCAGTGTAAAAACGGCACACCACGAAATCAGATGCTTCTTGACAAGCAGAAACCATCGAATATGCTCTGTCGAATGCTTCACCTGGCTCCTTGGCGCCATATCCAACAAGCTGTATGCTACGTTCGCAACCACATGAGCCTGTTGGAGGTCTCACGGGGTGTAAGCGAAGACATTCCTTCTATGCAGGCGTCTCTGTACCGTGACTGCAAGTTCACAGGCACAGTCCTGGGTAAGAAAGACCTGCTGCTGACCACTGCCCATTCAGAAGCACCCGAGCTGCTGATCAGCATTGCTGTGTTGCTCGGATCAACACCACGGGAGTACAACGCCGCGCAAGTGCAAGTGCTGTGATCGCAGATCCACGGAAGACAAATGGGTGCAGTGTAAGCACCCACTCAAGCTTATGAAAAGTTCTCGAGGGGTAAGTAAGCACTGCCATTTCTGTGTGGCCGGATCAGCACCACTGCAGTACGAGGCCGTGCCTGTGTGGTGGGTTTTCAAAGGCCACTAATGCCACGACACCAATTCGCATACCTGACCGTGTGAACGCGTCGCAGATCCACGGAGCACAGTTGCGGGCAGTGTAAGCACCCACTCAAGCTTTTAAAAAGTTCTCGAGGGGTAAGTAAGCACTGCCATTTCTGTGTGGCCGGATCAGCACCACTGCAGTACGAAGCCGTGCCTGTGTGGTGGGTTTTAAAAGGCCACCAATGCCACGACACCAATTCGCATACCTGACTGTGTGAACACGTCGCAGATCCACGGAGCACAACTGGGGGCAGTGTAAGCACCCTCTCAAGCGTATGAACAGTTCTCGAGGGGTAAGTAAGCACTGCCATTTCTGTGTGGCCGGATCAGCACCACTGCAGTACGAGGCCGTGCCTGTGTGGTGGGTTTTAAAAGGCCACTAATGCCACGACACCAATTCGCATACCTGACCGTGTGAACACGTCGCAGATCCACGGAGCACAATTGCGGGCAGTGTAAGCACCCGCTCAAGCCCATGACAAGTTCTCAAGGGGTAAGTAAGCACTGCCATTTCTGTGTGGCCGGATCAGCACCACTGCAGTACGAGGCCGTGCCTGTGTGGTGGGTTTTAAAAGGCCACCAATGCCACGACACCAACTCGTATACCTGACCGTGTGAACACTTCGCAGATCCACGGAGCACAACTGGGGGCAGTGTAAGCACCCTCTCAAGCTTATAAAAAGTTCTCGAGGGGTAAGTAAGCACTGCCATTTCTGTGTGGCCGGATCAACACCACTGCAGTACGAAGCCGTGCCTGTGTGGTGGGTTTTAAAAGGCCACCAATGCCACGACACCAATTCGCATACCTGACTCTGTGAACACGTCGCAGATCCACGGAGCACAATTGCGGGAAGTGTAAGCACCCGCTCAAGCCCATGACAAGTTCTCAAGGGGTAAGTAAGCACTGCCATTTCTGTGTGGCCGGATCAGCACCACTGCAGTACGAGGCCGTGCCTGTGTGGTGGGTTTTAAAAGGCCACTACTGCCACGACACTAATTCGCATACCTGACCGTGTGAACACGTCGCAGATCCACGGAGCACAATTGCGGGCAGTGTAAGCACCCGCTCAAGCCCATGACAAGTTCTCAAGGGGTAAGTAAGCACTGCCATTTCTGTGTGGCCGGATCAGCACCACTGCAGTACGAAGCCGTGCCTGTGTGGTGGGTTTTAAAAGGCCACCAATGCCACGACACCAATTCGCATACCTGACCATGTGAACACGTCGCAGATCCACGGAGCACAACTGGGGTCAGTGTAAGCACTGCCATTTCTGTATGGCCGGATCAGCACCACTGCAGCACGAAGCCGTGCCTGTGTGGTGGGTTTTACAAGGCCACCTATGCCACGACACCAATTCGCGTGCATCCAGGGAACACCATCGGGTAAATGGCAACACCATCGGGTAAATGGCAATCACGCTTAAGCTCATGAAGAGGTACTGCCACTCCCGTATCACGGCACTTATTGCGAAGTCTGTGTACCTGCGTGCAGTATTTGAGTGCCACCGTTTGTGCGTGGTCGCATCCGCACCGCCGTTAGACAAAGCCACGTCGGCGCAGAGCAGGTGGCTTCTGCAAACCATCCGAACTGAAATGTGGGCCTCTCTGCGCATGTCTCAGTGCCGGCCCGATTAACGAGATGGCAGATCCCTGGTTTCTGATGATGCGCAGTGATAATATTAAAATCAGCCACAGCCAAGCCCGAAATAAAGAGGCCCGCATGCTGAAGCAGAGAAGACGGTCCCCCTTAGCTGAAGAAGCCCCAAGCAGCCCTGTCTCCGGGAACCAAGCCGTCGCGCCATCTTGCAAGCAATCCTCGGCACGGGGTGCAAATGCGAGTGGGTGCTGACAGTCCATGAACGGTCGGACCTGACGGCTCCTAAGACACCTGGAAGAGACCCCGGAGTGCTTTCGCTCTGCGCAAGATGAAGCAAGAAAGACTTTGAACCGCTGGATTGGTCCGAATGGGTTGGGGGCTTTTACAGTATGTATGGCTGGCACTGCCCACCGAAACCAGGGATACCAACATTACTGGCACCTCAATCGCATCCAAACCGGCAAACGCCCACGGCCACGGCCAGTGTCAAAAGAAATCGCAGAAATAATCCAGCTTTAGGCAAACACATCCGCATCCCAAATCCCGCGAGCTCTGGACCATCCTGAAAAAAGGACCAAAGATGAAAGCCTGAAGTCAGAACCAAGCGGCTGCTTTCAAACAAAGGGAACCGTGCACCGGTCCTTTCTTCACCTGACTCACGGGCCGGGGCGTGGGGGATCATGGCTCTTGTATAATATATATATATATATATATATATATATATATATATATATGTACACATAAATATATACCTACATTTATATTTATATTTCTGTGTATGTATGTATCTAATGTGTGTATATATGCATATATATATATATATATATATATATATATTACGTACATTATATACTATATAGTGTAGTCTGTGAGAGGCTGGTTTTCTTGAGAGCTGACGGGAAGTAAGGTCGAGATACACGTGATGTAGGTATAGTCTTAAGTGCTGATGGACCCAGATCAAGGTATGTAAGCTCTACCTGGACTCTACCTCTAGCTACCCAGAAACCTTCAGGGATGCATCGCAGATTTTCAGAGCTTGACTGAAAATAGACACTGAAGGTCGTTTGGGTGCAGGGCATATTGACAAGAGCTGTTGGTGTAAACGCCGTTGGGCGTGCGTTCTGCATATACAAACGATTCGTGCCACGACCGGACTGAAAGGCGGTACGGGTCTAGGGTCTCGCCAGGCAGTAGTGGGACCGACTGCCTTCGATACACAGTATAACCTCCATTTTGCAGCACATCATAATGTCAAACATGACACTGTGTCAAAATAAACTGCTACTATGGAGGGATCTGGAGGTTGGGCAGCGTCCCTCTCTGGTAGTCCAAAAGAGCAGATGATGGTCCAAGGCCCCGACCATTGTCGCATACAGGCCTTTGCGCTCCCGCTGTCTTACTCCTTTCGCTGCCTCAAAGCCGGCAGTGACACAGCTGCTCTCCCTCTTCTACTGTCACGTTGCGCCTATGGCTCTGCTGGGACCGGTAGCTTTTGGGCTGGCTTTGGCAATTGTTCTGGCGTTGTCCGTGAAGGTAAGGGCTTCCGAGAACGCGAGGGGATCCCCTAACTAAAGCGCACCCTCTCCCCGGCAGTTCGGTCGCTCTGCCTCGCGCGCATCCGGGAAAACCATGAGCCGCAGATTCGGCCTAAGAAGCAGACTCACAGTATCTTCTTGTCTTCATGCTCGACACTACCTAATCACGAGAGCAATATTCATGGTAGTCATGGCAGCGCAGTGCCTATTGTCCTCTACTGAATGCTGCCTACTTCGCACGTCAGCTGCATGGTGTCAGGCGCACACGGCTCCCACTAGGGGACGTGCGTACTGAGGCACCAGCACCAGTCTCTTGGCGAGTATATTGACAACATTTGCCATCATGAAAACTATGGTCATCGTCAACATCATGGAACATACGTTGACAGCACTGTCGTTCTCAGTTTTACGTCGCGACTGTTCTTACTGTCTGAACTTTAAGCCAATATTAATGTTTTGGCTAAGCAACTGACTGTGATGGGTGGTGCCGCTAGCTTGTACCACTTGTTATGGCGGTAGCTGGAATCAACAAGTACGGGGGCGAGGATTCACTGGATTCACGGCCTCACAGCACCGAGAAACAGCAACACAAGCCCCGCATTTGTGTGCTGATCAGGCAATAATACTGAGGCGAGAACCGACCCCAAAACCTGCTGTGAGTCCGTACCCAAGCCCAAGTCCTAACCCTAAAACCCCTTCACCCCGAAAGACTACACTCAACTGGCAGCCCTCTCCCCACACCTGGGTCTAAAGAAACCTCCTTAGGATGGCAAAAACCCTCGCAAAGCCCGAAACCATGCAATCTGCACTGTCCCAAAGAGCTTTAGGGTTAGAGTAAATTGTGATCTGCCCTGAAAACCACAAACCCTGAAGCCATCGCGACTTTGAATCGATGCGTACTGTAACCCCAAACCTAATGCAACCTTAAATTGTTTAACTCTAAAGTCCCCCAACACCTACATCGCTGCCACAAGCCCCAAACCTCGAAACCTTATAGCTCCGCGCTTCGGAACATCACAGTACTTTTTAACCTGAAATCCGTAACAAACCGCGTGCCGAGACTTCTACGTCCACTCTGGAACATCCGATGCTCGGAAACCCCCATTGACATCGCCGCTGCCTGCACTCCGGAACCAAAACGCTAAACACCTGATGCACGAACCGAAAACGCAAAGCCTTCGAAGCTAAGCAGACAAAAACTCGAAACCCTTTACCCACACCAAGTGGCAGCCCACGTGCCCGAAAGGGCGGCGAGACGAGAGGGCGGCCCAAGGTGGCCTTCTCGGCATGTAGGGATTGGGGGTCTCGGATCGGAAGGTCTTTAGGACATCACGAAGGCATTCGTTCAGTAAGGTGGTGCAATTATGCAGCCGGCTCTCCAGAACAGAGGAGTTGTACCTTGTACATGCAGGTTTCAAAATCTAGGTTTTTTACGGATTCGCGAATTGGTTTAGGGCTTGCTGAGCCGTTGAGGTGGGGATTTTGAAGGACGCAATGCAGTCTGAAACGATGATTCTGGAGCTGTGCAACCTCCAGATGTTCTGGGGTGGCAGGTACAAGTATTTCAGGGATCACGGGGGCTGTAGATCTGTGCTCGCTCTTGGACAAAACTTTCTGCACTACATCTCTGGCTTTCGCACCTGTGCTCGCAAACGCTGCACTCCTTTGCATTTGTGTTCGGCTGCGTTCGGAGAGGCGTATATGGATTTCAGAATAACCTCATTCAAGCTCACCACGAAGCATTGAAGAATATCTGGTATCAGTGCTTTGCGGGTGCCTCGTCAAGACTGGAGTCGGATACTCAGCACTCGTATGTCCAAACCCACAAGTCGTGGCGCCAAACCCAGCTTGCGATCACAGAAAAACCCGAGCTTTTGCTCATCATGTGCTGCCTCGTGCAATCTCAAATCTCGAAGGAAAGCCGCAACAACAGACAGCCCATCTCTCTCGTTGTTCACTCTCCGTGCTACTTAAAAATTTGCAATGGCGGAATTCTGCGTCTGTAATGGCAACTTATGGAGGTGACTTAGACTAGGGCGACTAAGAATGCCATTGTTCCTCAGTTTTCTATCTGTGGATTCTGCTGCGAAGAAGAGTATAAGAAAGGCCTTGTGTGAGGGTAAAATCTCCTGCATCTGATCGCCACAAATATGCACCAAGGTTGGCGTCGCATTGACTAGGTGAGGTTTCTCCACTCCTCACGAATGCGCACTTCTGACTGCGAGAACTTTCGAAAATGACCTTAGAACGACCTGTCTTTCATGCAATCGACAAACCGCGACCTAGATGTCTCCCTTTAAGGCCAGGACTGAAGCCCGGACATGAACGCACTTCACAGATGCAATCCCTCCGGGGTGGATGCCTGCAACTTATCTCGGACGTCTTCGATCTTCCAAGTCGCCCTGGTACAGATCACGCCTGAGACCTGGGAAGCAAAAGCTGGGCTTTGGCGGCAAAAGCATGCGAGCTCTTGATTTGAAGCTTCTGTCACCGAGCCGGAAATCCTCAACCCTGCAGCACGCGAAAACAAAAACCGCGAACACATTCGCAAGTGTTCCCCACAGTTGCGGCACGCAGGCCTTACCAGCATATTTGCTGCCTTTATGTGCTGCATCCCTCCACTTCTTGAATTACCGCGTGCTCCACTCAGATGCCCTCTTTCTCTATGTAAATATCATGATTTTTAAATACACATATTGTATAGATATGTACTCTTCCACCCACGTCCCGATTACTAGGTATCAGGACGACGCGAGGCAAACCATGTTCATTGTAAAATGCAAGCCCTGCACATAAACAAGCTGTGCCGACTGAGCTTTGATGCAGGGAGGCTTTTTTAAGCTAGAACAAAGCCAGCCTCAAATGTCAAGGATGTGGCCCCCGGCTTCTACGGCTTGCGGTCTCCATCAGGGGCAATGTTCAAGCCGGGCTGATCCAAACTGAAAGTTGCTACCTGTATGGCGATCGCGAGCCAGGCAGGGGTCTGCGGGTAGAAGCCTCTTGAAGTATGTAGGACACGCTGTCATCGTCTGGTTGAGCGTGCTATGGTCGGTACTGTCTGTGGGTGCAGTTGAGCACAGCGGAGCACAAAGGAGTTGGACGTGGCTGTTGTTCAGAATCACATTCCGGGCATGGGAAACCCTCAACTTCCCTTCCTGCGGACGAGTCACATTGACTTGTCCGACTGTGATCCCGGGAGCCTCCTCCGGGCAGATGGCGGTTCTAGCAATCATAATTGGGAAAAATCATGTTCAGCAGCTCACTGAGGATATGGGCTATAGTGATGCTGCAAAACGAGTCTGGAAGCTCGAAAACGACAGGAGACGTGACTGGCACTTGGGGAGCTGCGCTGATGTTGTCTGTGTTTCGGTGCCGGCTCTCAAAGCAAGTGCGAACAATTCTGACCGGAGGAAAGGTTGACGTGACTCCATTCTGTTCAGATAGTTCTTACCCTGCAAGACTTGCAAGCCTGCAACACCCTAACCGCACAACAACCCACAACCCTGAAAACCCTCAAGGCCCAAAACCTGAGCCATAAAACGCAAAAAGTCCAGCGCCCTGTAATTACACATATATATATATATATATACACACTCACATGATCACATATGCACGTAAAGATTATAATTATGTTACATATATATATATATATATATACACAACTACATAACCCTCAGCCTCCGTGGTCTCTCCCTGCGGAATCGGCTCTCCGCGGGCGCTCGGCTTCGTCCACAGCGACGCCAGCGCGGCCACGGAGATCTCCGCGGCGTTGGAAGTCTAGGGGTCTGCGGGGTTTTCAAGGCGTATTCAGGCAGCTTTTGTAAGGGTTTGTAGGGTTCAAGTTAAGGCTGTAGGGTTTTAGGCTAAATGAGGATTTGAGCTTAAGACTGTTTTAATGCTTTTTTTGTTGAAGTCCCGTTTCCTCCTGCTGAATTTAGGGCTTGGGGTCCAAAGTGTAAGTTAGGGGCCAGTCAGGATTCCAAGCGCTTTCAAGAAAACAGTTCCAAGCAAAGCATGCGAACCAAACTCCACGTTGTAGCAAAAGGTGCACCCAGGGCATCCGAAAACTCTAGAACGATGGTTCAGTTCAGCATTTTGGCATGTGTTTCTGACCGAAAGAAGCTGATAATCACGTGCAGAAACAACCCGCGATCCAAAGCAATCATAGGCTTCAATCAAACCATGCAGATACTAGCTATTCACCCTTATACAGCACTACTTCCTGAAGTAGCCCGCCTGCTCTCCATGTCGACTCCCAGCCATCTGCACCTCCCACAGCTTCAGCCAAAGGCTTGCTCAATTCTTGTCTAGAGCCACGGAAGTACTGGACTCTCACGGATGGCTGTACATGGGCATGGCGTCCACATGAGTCTGAGGTTAAGAAGGCTGAAACAAACCTCTGCTGGATCCTTGTGTGCCACCTCGGCGCCCTTAGGTATCCAAGCTCTCGCTTTCATAGCCCATGAATCCTGAATCCGAAAACCCTGGCGCACCACGACGCACAACAAACCCTGAACCCTGCCTGATGCGTGCGGCTGGGTGCTGCTGGGTTCGTCCCGGATGCCTTTGCAACAGCATGCCCTGAAGGTTCGCAATGACAACAAAACGGGGTTTCGGGTTTGCGTGGTGTGGTGGTCTCGGGAGCATGGGTCTAAAGAAGCGTTCAGAAGGGATCTATCGATGCCGCCACAGGAAGAGACACAAACGTCGTCGTGCGCGAGTGTGTGTGTGTGTGGAAGCAAGATGACGTAAGACAGTAATGAAATCAGACAAAGCAACCCATATCGAGTCATATCGGTCTACCAGACATGACACTCAATTACTCTGCATGCATACAACTAGCTCAAACAGAAACTACACATAAAAAGACAAACACATGCGGACACCCAGCCAGCCAGTCAGCCACCGGCACCCACACAAACGCCCACAGAGAAAGACACAGACACATTCAATGACAGAGACACACACGAACACACCCAACACCCACACCCCTACCCCCACACCGACCCCCAAATGCTGATGCACACATCCACCCAACAAAACATTGCACCAGAAGATCCAAGACATGAACTGGCGATGCGCAAAATTATCTTTCAAGGAAAGACTTGATATTTAGATGCTGGGTGCACGCAAGACCGGACGAAGGCAAGACGGCAAATAAAGTAACTTGGAGAGAGAGAGAGAGAGAGAGAGAGAGAGAGAGAGAGAGAGAGAGAGAGAGAGAGAGAGAGAGAGAGAGAGAGAGAGAGAGATCCCGAAGCACAAAATAATATCGCCTCTTCTCAGGCCAGTCAGCCAGTCCCTCGCTGTCTGTACGAGTCGCGAGACTGCTGCCGGTGACTCTGGCACGCAGCTGCTGCTATCTGTGTGTCAGCTGAACTCCCAAACTCTTCCCCTGCAGAACCAGAGCACCAGAGCCCCGATGGGCGGTGGTGGCATTGGTGGGACTGCGAGGCAGTGCTGGCATGTTCGTCGGCATGTGTCCACGGCGCATCGTGCAGAGGGCAAGTCACGGCGCGACTGCAACAGGCGGAATCTCCACGGAGATCAAGCGATCGCACAAGCCGCACAAGCAATGCTGTCTGATTTTCTTCCGAAAATCTCACCGCACTGGCGCCCCATATCTGGGGTTCTCCTTATAAGCGGTCCCAAAGAATCATTTTCGGCTCCTCGTCTGTGTGCCTCTCGTGTTCAAGCATAGTCACCAGAAGCTTCGCGCTGGCGTACTGAAACGTATGATATAACACAAGGCCCAAGAAAGGAATGTAAAAAGCCACCAGTACAACAGTGCCGAAGCCGCAAAGGAACCAGCCGTGCCGGTACACGAAGATCCGTTCTTGCTTATAGCTCAGCCGATATGTGTACTCACTCAGCAGCTCGGTGCTCAAAGCAACCGAAGCGATGTACCACTCGTAGAAGCGCAGGAATGCCGTAGCTACCCCCACGTTGTCGAACATGAGATAGGCCACCACGAGGTTCCTTGACTGCTGGACCAGCAGCTACGTTTCCATAAGTATCCCCCACGATTCAGCACAGACACCGACATTCAGGAGCTGTTGCGCGTCCGAAACACCCGAAGCCCCAAGTGTAAGAGATACTCCAAGGTGCGCCAGGAGCATCAGCAGGTTACTTCGATTCCACAGCCGGGCGTGGGGCGTCGAGGGGCCCGCGTCTCCCTGCTGGCCCTTCTTCCCATACTTAGGGTCGGCAAAGACCCGGACCTGATAGATTCAAGCTATTTAGGAATTTAGGGCTTAGGGTTTAGGGGATTAAAATACACTGAGCCTAAGGTGAGCGGAGGCCTTGGGGGCGGGCTCGTGAGGGGCTCGTGATGTTTCAGAAAGACTTCCGACCTTCCTGTAGTACTTGGAGTATTGGGTGTAGAACACCGTGAAGACGCTCAGCGCATGCTGCAGCCGACGGAAGCCCATCTTCAACAAGAAAACCACCACGGAGAGGAGCACCAGCTTGCCGATGGATTTCAGAGAGGCGAGTAGCCACATCCAGTACCTGACTTGCAACATCATTCTGTCAGTGCATGACAGTGGCCTATTGCATCCAGACTTTTCGGTAACACGAATTTACCACCAGGGCACATTGCGCACTAATACAAGAAATCGAAGCATCTCTGAACCCTGCAGCCACCAAAAACAGAAACAAGCCTTTGAACTAGAATCCGGGATCTCGTTCCTTTACGGCTCGGGGTCAGGGCTCTGCGGGCCCCGGGTCGGGGGGATTCGTTTACAATTTTTTGCGCACTACATACATTAACGGGCTTAGGAGGAATTCTCCTCATTTGTGTGTTTTCTTTTTCTTCTTCTTTCAGTTTTGAGTGCATCGCGCTCTCTCTGACACCTACTGACCCAGGAGAACTTCATACCGAGACACCTGTCGGACTGCACGGGCAGGTTGCACAGGCCTTCCCGAAGCCTAGGGAAGTGCTCCTGCATCGAGCCGTATGTGGTTTTCAGAGGATAAGTCCCTAATATGGACCTAATCACGGTGCTTCTCAAATACTTGAAGCGCCTCTTGTTGTTAAGAGCCCTTTTTTTTGTAGCCACACGAGTTCAGTCGCATGAACCCTATGGTATGATTACTCACTCTGTAGGCGGACTAGACAGAATGGAACGACCACATTCATCTTGTGCTAGGATTCTACAGCGGGCGCTTTACTTGACCATTTTGCAACACAACCGAACTCATGCGCACATCAGATCTGCTTGTCAATGTCTATGTTGCGATAGCAAAAATGTGTGATGCGAGGCCTGTGCATGAGGCTGTAAGGTGCAAAGTGCCCGAAATAGCGAATTGGTGCTTGAATCGCAAGGCCTGTTTGGGACCTTGTCGAATGGACCTTTCAGTGGTTCTCCTGGGTTTGGGAGTCCTTTCAGGTCAAGGGGCTAGGTCCGGGTAGGTCCGGCGTACGTGAGGTAGCCGCACTGATGCTTGCTAGAGCTAGCAAAAAAATATATATCCTTGCTTACAACTACCTGAACCTTCAAGCAGAGGGTTTGCGGCATGGAGATGTGGGGTTCGGATCTAGGATCTCAATTGGAAGGATGCACCCCGGGACACCCAACATCATGTCCGTAAAATCTGTATAGAGCCCAAGCAAGCCGCTGGTCCAGGTGTGAGAAGAAGGGCTTGGAGCTGAAGAGCATCAGATTCCTGGTGCTGAAGGGCTTTTAGTCATGGGGCGTGGGTTTCGGGCATAGATAAGGTTGAATAAAGGCTCAGAGATGCAGGCTTCAAGGCTTCGGGTTCTGGTCTCACTGCGCTGTCAGGTCAGCGGTAGCTTTCCTACTCCGTGCTTCTGCAGCCTCCGTAAGATCGGCCGAGAAGCCGTGCCAGGAAAAGGACGATGAGCGGCAGGTACCAGCATGCATCAAAGAGAAGGTTGTAGAAGGTGATGTGGCCGTGGACAGCTGCGGCAGGTTGGTTCCACTCCGGCTTGGCCAAGAAGATGATCAAGCGTGCAAGATAAAACAATAGGTGGACAGGTATTAGAAGAATCCCACACACAAAGCTTGTCACCAATATCGAGATCAACAAAGCTCTCAAGTTGCTTGTGGTGTATCTTTGCTGTGCTTGCCTGTGACTTGTCCAAAAGTCGTAGCATCCAGAAATGCTGGCAGTAACGCCGCAGCAAAACTGATGGGCGCCACTGGCGACAGCTTTTTGCAATGACATGGCTCCACAACTCCAATGAGTGCCTCCAGGAGTGTCAGTGGCAGCTACCGCAGTAGCAAACGGCCCCGGCTGACGTGCTCAAGCCAGCGCCGCGTCTAGTCTATCCCTGAACATAAAGCTCAAGCATCATCACCCTAAACTCCTAAACCCCAAACCCTTAAACCCTAAACCATTTAACATCATTCTTGCAATGCAACGGCCGAACTGAGTGGAGTGGCAAGTGCCGCAGCTGCACTGCTTCCTAACTCTAGGCACCTGTCGGAACTGTTTTGTAGAAGCAAGCCTTGGAGAAATGTATCCTAGCTTTCCCACACCCTTGTTAGAGTCTGAGGGCTTATTTGAATCAACGTGTGAATGCTCCATGACACTTTCCACAATAGGTTGAGTCCGCGGCATGTAGGCGTGAGTGTTGGGTAGGCTGCGACATCTGCTGCTGCGGCACCGTATGCTGTGGCATGCGGGGCATATGATGTGCCTGCAACGGCTGTTGCGGCAATTGCTGCGCTTTCGCTTGCGACGGCGAGACGTGTGGTGGCTGCCCCGCCACCTGTGGCAGTTCGGTGGAAGTTCGCATCAAGACCGGGGTAACTATTGCATGATTATTTGGTACTCGTGGTACAACTGATCCCAGGATCCTGGCAAAGTGCAGCCCAAGTCATCTACGTGAACAGGCAAATGAAACGGTGCTCGCGCCTGTGACAAAGCACCCGCATAGGCATGAGCCTCCCAAAAGGCAGGCATTGCATGTGGAGATTCGGTCCCATGGATGCTCACAGCTAAGGCTTTGCGACAGGCCTGGAATGTTGGCTCGACAGGCGGCGTACAAGCTAGCTTCGCCTATACGCACGGAACGTACGATCCCTTCATCACATGACAACCCTGACCCTGCAGGCTACAAACTGCGGTTCATTGAATGCTGCAGGTTTCGGTGCTCCCATCAGGGGTGATGGACGGGAACTTGCGATTGTAGGAATACCTCGACAGCTGATCCCGTTATTAGAATTGTCCCTTCCATCACGGATGCCTGATTTCTCTCTCTGCCGCGAGCATGAGACGCATAACTCACTGACGCGCCCCAGGAACAGAGTCTCAGAGAGGAGGGCACCCAAAAACCCAATATATGCACGAGTAGTCGGATCCTTCAAACGTAAGGCCCCACTCCCAAGATATCGGAGCCCTGGCTTGAATCGCAGCTTCTAAAACCGTACCTTGCTGAACACTCCAAGAGAAAAGCACAGCACCGGGCCTGAAGTGCTCCAAAGGTTGCATTCAGCGGCTTCGCTGTGTTCGCCTTCAAGCAGATTCGACCGCAGTCCGTGTGAAGACTCGAACATGGACAGGACAGACCTTAAGATCTAAAGCTTTAAAGGTGTTTAGGAAAAGGATGTGCGACAAGGCCCATTCGCTTCGGTCGAAAATGGGCATTATAGTTTGCCGAATGCGTTCGTCTCAGCCATCAAACAAGTGGGGTAAAGAACCTCAATGCCTAAACTCTTAAAACCTGAGTACACCCCAAGGCCACTTAGCCCCCGAAACCGAAAAGCCTCAACATTGCGGGGTTGGTCTATAAACAGACGTCTTCATGCCTCAACACCTTAAGGAGGCAGGGCGAAACCTGGAATTTCGACCGAAGATTTAAATTTAAGCATTCCCTGGTTGGATTACACGAAAGATCTCGCTACGCAAGCTCGTGCCGGAGACACAGCTGCCTACGTTATACAGTGTGGCATGGCTCGCTTCCAAAGGCTTATTTGAACCGGGCCTGCACTGTAGACGCCAGATCGAGCTGTGCGTTCAGAGGGGGACGATGCGCCTGCCAAGCTGAAGAACGACACGGCAATACCTGAAGATGATTCTGTTCGCCATCGGCATCATTATCATGACCAGGGTGCTGTTGTTGATGATCCTGTCGGTGATGAGCGGAGACCGTCACCAAACAAACAGATTCCTGCCCATTTGTGTAGGTACTATAACAGTCGTGTAATATTTCTTCTACGAGCCTTCAGGTGATAACCAACACATCGTCATGTCCGCTACTGCTGCTGAGCAGATATCTGTAAGAACTCAATAGGCAGAAGCATTCGTCGTCGCTCGCATTCAGGCAAGATTCTCGCAACAAGCTGCATGCATGAGGAGGCAGGACCTTTCTACCTTTCTAGAAGCATGGGAAAAGACAGCAAGATTGAAAGTCTGAAATTCGAAGCACTACCTGATCCACGTTTCTGGGAGCTCTACGCGTGACTGTAGCACTTTTCAAGCAATCTGCTGCGCTGCCCTTACGGCTCGTTCCCGCAGAACCGAGCGAGGATTCCGCAAGCGGGCAGAGCCCCGGTCATCCTCATCCTCAATGTCGCTGTCTGAGAAGTCGCTAAGAACCTGGTCGGTGGTGATGCTTTGCCAGCGGCCGCGGTTCAGCACCTGTACTTTGGGTGCTCGGCTGGTAAAAGTGGATTCGGAGAAGGACGCCGCGCGGGCAGCTCCCGGATCCAAGGAAGCGATGAGCTTAGAGACTGTGAGTCTCAGCTTGCCTTTCTGCACGGCTTCGTGAAGCTCTCGTAGGTGGATGGAGTGCATGGCCCAGCCAAGCTGAAGGAGTTGGCGCCGGCGCAGCTCCGCCGCACCCGTCACACGATTCGCTGGGACTGTAAGGTCCTGCAGGTCCAGCACATCAATGAGGTGTCTCTGAGCCCGGAAAGTAATTGGGACCCGGTGGCAGCCGACAATTGCCTGGGCCTGATGTGGCACACGGAGTTGCGACAAGGTAACCGTAAGCCAGGTCTCGTAGCTGTACCTAGCTGCAGAAATCTGCTTTCGTCGGCGCTCTGCTCGGCGTGGCTGCTGGCGAAAATACTGGTCTGGCCGCGGCACCTCGAGAGCTAAGGCCAACCACTCCTTCACATCCGAAGGGAGCTGCGAAGACCTGAGGAAGAGAGACCTTCACTCCCTCAAGGTCAAACCCACGTACTACTTTATGCCTGTTCCGTTGCATCCCTCCAACAGAGTAGTCAGTGCTTTTATCCTAACTTCTTCCACCCTCAACAGGGCGATGGTTGTTTCGAAAACCTTCGGCTATACCGGCTGCAGTTTGTGGGGGGGGGGGGGGAATTTGCCGGCCGAAGCAGCTCGGTGTTGCCGATCGCCTTGCTATGCAGCTGCCAATGCAATGCCACTTCCTTCGAACTTGGGACATGGGTAGCTGTGCCAAGAAGCTATGAGTATGTGGCAGGTGTTACCTGCCCAAGCGCCTCTGTGTCGACCCTACCAGTATCTGCTCCAGCTCTCCGTACGACCAGAATGCGTTTCACTGTCTGGCTGTCTGCCCACGTGTACACCACGTGCAAACATACGGTGAAACTGCATGCCTGACCTGACTTGACTGCAAAGGACAAGCTGTGTATACTCAGACGAAGCAAAGACAGCAAGATACCCTAGAGACCGTGCAAAATCTTGCATGCCGCAAAAAAATGAACTTATGCGAAACGGAACCATGGCCAACCTGCTTACGATGCCAATGTGGCAATGCGAAAGGTCTTATGGCCACAGCTGAACGCTTAAACATCCCTTGTCATTCCATTTAGCATCAGCCCGCCGATCCTGAAGTTGGCGCAACCCACTGCCACACCAATCTTGCCTCGCGATTGGAGGCTGAAGACATATATAGGTTCAGAGCGAAACCAATACATTTCTCAGACGAGGAGCGGGCCTGGTGTGGCATAGATGCTACACATTTGTATGTGTGTAACGGACAAGTTCATAAACACCTGTATACATACATATATATATATATATATATATATATATATATATATAGTCCCACCGCAGCAACCCTGTCTGCATACATACATATATACATATACCTACATACATACATACATATGTATGCATGTATATATATATATATGTATGTATATATACATATTCATAGACACATAGATGCATATGCATGATTATGCATGTATATATATATATATATATATATATATATATACATATATATATATACACACATGTATGCGTAGCTCTATATGTATGTGTATGTGTATGCGTATGTGTAGGTGTATGCATATGCATATGCATGTGTGTATGTTAACACTTGACACGAAGATCACATTGATGGAGTGGCTAAGCGCAGCCTGTCTGGCTGTGTCTCTGTCTCTGTCCGTCCGTCTGTGCACGTGTGCACACATCCACTTTTGACATGCTGTGTTCGTGTGCATGGCATGTTTGTGTCTGCGTATGTCGAAGCAAGCTGGCAAGAATGTGACATGTACACAGGCATTGTGGTCTGCATGCCTGTACTTGCCCACATGTGCCTGCATGGATGCACATACATGTATTGCGTTCATAGGCATAGTCAAACACAAGCTGGTGCTTCAGAGATGTCTCCGGGGTGGCCGGTCGAATCGGGCGACGTTTGAAGGCCAGAGGTGTGTGTCGACTCTGGAATGCCTGATTCGACATGCCATGACCAGGTGCAATGTGCTTCCAACTTCAAGCGCATATAGAAACGACCCTGAGCTTAGTGGTCAAAGAGGGCCTGTTGTCGGCAACCCGTGCTTTGCAATTTCCCTTGTGTATATACCCATAAGTACATGCGGGTCTGTACCTGCCGTAGCCAAGCGGCGGAAACTGCCCCTGCAGGCTCGAATGCCTCGACAGCCACAGAAAACTTCGACAAGCTGCAGGCCACCACAGCCACTACATCCCTAAACCCTAAACCCTTGAAAATCCTAAACCAGACTACGTCCTGAACCCTGGTCAATACTGAACCTGCTCAGCCCTAGACTCTTATGAATCCTTCGACCCTGCATGAACCCTAAACCCTCATCAACGCTAAATAAATCCCTATATACTGTAAACCCGAAATCTTAATCATGCTTAAACCCGTAAACCCTTATCAATGCTGAACTAGACCCGTATATCAACCCCAAGACCTTACGCCCTCGAAGCCTACAGCTTTTTCCTTTGCTGCCGAGGCGCAGCTCCGAGAGAAGCGCCAGCGGCGGCTCCTCGCCGAGGACAGCGCTGGCCCAGGCGAGGCGGAGCAGGGCCCTCGAAAACGCTTCAAAAAATTGGAAGGTTGGTAAGGTTGGTGTGCTTGAATATGACAATACTCGATGCTATATAACTATATGGGATATTTAAGTTAGTTCGTTTATCCCTCTAGGGGCTATTGCAAGTGTCACTGCTCGAGTTAGGGAAACAAGTGTACAAGGGAATATGAGGCAAGATACTTCGAACAAGCTGTAATTACGCGCAAATCCATGCCAACTACAGAGTCAAACTCGGGCATGGTAGCATGCAGAGCTAGGGTTCGAAATGTGCTTACGGGAGTATACAGATATTCCTGAGCCATCTCTCAGCGACCCTCCTAGCGCAGCTAACTGCTAGCAAACAAACAGTTTTAACAGTAATCAGCATCTCGTGGTTGCACTGCCACACTCACGATCTAACTGCTGCTGCTTGCCGAAACCCTGATCTAGAGCCGATGAACTCAGTACAGCTTAGCGGCATAACATTCACTCCCGTATACAACTGCATCAGTTCTCAGTCGATTTCAATCCCTTGTTGAGACCTCACAATGAATCGATTCCGGACATCCTATTCTCCTTCATAACCCTCCAAGAGTGCCACACAGCCGCGTTGGGGCCGGGCGTAAGTGGAAGGTCGGCAGAGGCACCTTTCAATAGCACCGCTTCGCTGCGAGTGCCAGTAGTTACACAAAGGGTCCAAGTAATAGTACATATATATATATATATATATATATGTACTTTTGGGGGGTCCAAGTATGTACTAAGTGGCTACTATGTTGGTACGTAGAGGTGCGCAGACGGGGCAGGTAGGTGACCCCTGTCGTGGGGATGAAGCTATCACCTCATAACTCAGCAGAAGGACATAAAACATTGAGAACTGGTTTTACGGATCTCATGACCCTTAATTTCAAGGAAGACTCGGACGGGTTAATCGCGCCGGACTCTTGGGAACTACGGTACGGCTTGGATATGCTTCTATCAAGTGTAGGGGAGCTAGAGGTCAATAAGGATTCAATAAGGCCGTTCAATTTCTTAGACTTCTGGCGGGTCGGATTGACCAAACGAAACATCGGGGTCCTGCACTCCTCGGAATCATGCAACAATTGGATGAAGCTTGACGCAAGCTCAAAAGCCCTTGAAGCCTAGCCTCAAACTACCCCTCTGCCACGGGACCTCGTCCTCATGCAAAGGCAGTGCACCCTCTGCTGCAGTGTACAAGCGCCTCCTGGGCGAATTGCCGAGCTCTGGAGAATTAACATGTGGGTGGTTGTCAAAATTATGGTCCCTTATTGGGTACCCTAATTAGGTGCCGTATTATATTAGACCCAAAAAGGCACCGTAATTTTGACAACCACCGATGTATACGTACAAACCCTAGTCAAAGTTGAAACTCGTCTTCTGGGCTATAGAACGTATGTAGCAGGGGTGACATGTTCCAAAATACTCTTCGACACGACCTGCGGGAAACCCTGGCTTTACCAAACTAAGGGCTTTGGGGCATGTTGAGAACTACTATAGCAAGTTTTATGTACAGGTAGAAACATCGTAAACACATGTACATACCCCTGCAATACGCGCAAAGTCCAGGCTCAGCAGGTCTCGACAAAATCGGCGATTCCATTCCTGGAGCACTCACAAGCAAGGCTGGGCTTTGAGCTCAGTACGTAAGAGCAAACCTGGGAGGTGGGAATCTCAAGGCGAACCTGATAGGCCAGAGGCAAAAGCTTTCATAGACTCCTCGCAAAGGATGGGGCTAACATGATAAATGGGGAATAGGTTACTAGGTTTGAAGAATACACCCTGCAACGAAGGTGCAGCGAGCATTGCAGGACGAAGGACTGAAGAAGCATAGTGCTATGCTGGAATGGTATGGATGTGTCGCTTGAGATTCTCGTTCTTTTCGCAGACAGCTTGGCATACGTGCACAAGGATCATGTTGGCTTACGTCTTAAAGCATTCACAGGTCGACTGGCCTCACACTCCAGCAGTAAAACTGGCTCGGTCACGCGTGCACTACGCGTGCATACGGTAGACTCGACGATCAAGTTGATCGCTCCACCGAAGCCCCAAGCTCTTCAAGAGGAGCCGAAATCTGCAGACAAGTGTGCCAACCCCCTTGCAATTATCCTAAGTCCTATCTCCTCAAACTCTTCTGCGGAGACTGCGAATGAACATGAAGATTGCGAAGGTTGAACCTAAGATCCCCAGATGAGAACAAGGCTCGATCTGCCAGGAGAGCTGTGCGAGCGACCAGGCCAGGTCTGCACAAGAATCTGCAGACAAACGCTCCAGATCGGCCTGGCATGTTAAGGTTACTAGGTCTATATAAGGGTTACTATAAAGCTATAAAGGATCTATAAGGGTAATATTATTGAGGTTACTATGTTTATATAATAAGGGTTACTATAAAGGATCTATAAGGGTACTGAGGGTTACTCTAAGGGATCTATAAGGCTACGATAAGAGATACCATTAGGGGCTACTATAAAGGATCTATAAGGGTACGATAAGGTTTCTACCTGAGAAACCCAAAACCTACCGTTTTAAGGGTTATACCATCTAATTAAGGGGTCATAACCTGTAGGGTTTGGGGAGACAGGAAGGTCTATATGAAGGTAACTATAAAGGATCTATAAGGGTACGATAAGAGAGACTATAAGGGTACTATAAGAAATTTGGGGATGCAGGGGCGTTAATAATGAGAAATGTCGTTTTCCTGTAAAGGGCTCTGCATATGGGCTACTATAAGGGATCTGTAAGGGTACTGTAAAAAAGGGGTCTAAATAATTAGAATAGGGTTTTGGGGCCCAGGATACTATATTTGTAGCAAGAAACCACCCAAAATAGTATTGGTAGCTTGGTAACTATTTAGGCCCCTATAGTAGGGCTAAAGGTTTCAGGGCGTCAGATTAAGGTTCATGTCGTAGGATGGTCGCGAGGTCTCGGCTGAGCGATGAAAATTCGTACTTGTGGAACCGTGACATGTCGCATGCCCTGATGCATAGGTCTTTTTTAAAAGGTTTTTAAAAGGTTCTTAAAAAATCTTGTGGATAATTATCATATCCAGAACAGCAAGACTGCTAAGCCTTTGGGCAGCGGGGGATGACAGAAACAGGCTTCGGAACTCCTCCGCAGTGTCGTTTGGGTGATAAGCTGACGTCCTGTGAGCAAGGCAGCAAACCTCGAGCCCAATTTCACCCGAAAATTGCCAGGGCAAGCATCGCATTATTTTTGCATGCATGACGGGAAGTTTTGCTCGTCATCCCGAGTCCATGCCTGACCTGTAGCCACCTGGAACACGGCCGAACCGCATTCTAGAAGCACAGTTTTGAAACTCTGCGCCCTGCACCATGCACTCCACGAAACCCAGCTACGTAGGTAGTCAGGGTCGCGCAGAGGGTACCTACAGTCTCATCTTGGTTCACCAAAAAAAGGAACTGACATGGAGACTACAGGAGGCATCAACATGGGAGTACCCTAAAATGAGGTACCCCCTAATTTTCGGAAACTCTAAACCCTAAAACCTAACCCCTAAACCCTTATAGAGCCCTTTAAGGGCACCCCCACATCGCAAAGACAGCCTGAGGACTCGCCACGAGCAGGTCGAGCCAAGCCTCGCGCGAACTGCCATCGAAACGAAGACTTTGGTTGACGGTATTTTTCTCCCTGTTGCAGGCGGAATACTGCAAGGGTTCAGGGCTTGGGGCTAGGATCTGGGGGGAAGAAGTCAGCCATCATCATGCAGATTCCGATGCTTGGATCTGTGCGAATAGCTTTGTCTGGAAAAGCCGACAGCATCACGATAACCAGCACAATCGCTGTGCGTTCTTTCCCCCGAAATTTGTGTGTCTCGCTTGCGATTTCATTGAACAGCGGCCACTCTCAGTGAGGTCCCGCGGCAACGAGGTCGGGACACTGCATCGCTGGTGGTTGGCAGTCCGTTTATCTCAAGCGATGATGGCGCAGTGTCGAAGGCCAGCATGCAAGTCAATCTCAAACTTGACAAGAGTCGAAACCTCACGTTCTGAATCTGACCTCCCTGTGAAGTGGAGATCTTGACACCAGCTCATGCATGTCGACATGCTCTTTCATCGGACTTTTGCTGGAAGAAGGAATGCTTGTTCTGGGACCACAGTGGCCAGGATGGTATTGAATGGGAGCTCCCGGGGGGGGGGGGGGGCGGGGGGTTGGGATCGGGACAGGCAGAACTCACGCCGAGAATGTTTGCAACCGCAGCCACACCGCTGCGAGCTTGCGTTTCCAAAAACTGAAAAACTGCTGTGCCAAACCGCACGAGACTTCTTCTCACCCCGGAACAGGATGGTGCCACACGAGACACTCAGGCGGCTGTGAATGGCTGCGCTTCTTCCAAACCTTTGCAGGTCGGTTTCATCCGAGGCGCCGCGCATTGAACTGTATTTCAGTGCGCTTAAAGCGAAGCATATCGTGAATTACCGACTTTCGAAGGACCAATTGACTGGAGAACAGGTGACGGTGCAAGCGCGTAAGATCTTCCCGAACGGCCATCGAATCTGAACAGAAAGAATGAACCCTGAACACCACGCATGAAGAGATCTCGTGCGAGTGCACAAGCAGCCACGGAGATGGGAGAACCCATCCAAAACCGGAGGAAGAAAAAGCGAAGGCTGAACAAAAAACAACCCGAACACTGATGCTTGTCAATGTACATGGGTGCACACTGTTGCAGCAGAACAAGCTTATCTAATGAAGGTGTGCCCACTTGTCACTTGTCACGCACTCTAGCTGCTTCGCTACCTCAGTCACAATCCCACCTCGAAGTTCTCCTAAACCCTAAGGAGACCTTGCCTGAATGTGCTGATTCTCCAGCCCCAGGGCGGCGAGCGCGCGAGCGATAACCACCTGCGCCTTGAGTCCACAATTGTGCGCAGAAGCTCACAGAAATTCCAAACACAAACCCCGCAGACCCTTTTGTGTTTGTATATGCATCGTCTCAGGATTTAGGATGTTGCGGAACCAGGCTGGCCGAGGACTTTGCGTCGGTATGAACCCCAGCTTCGAAGCCGACCAGACTCCTCAGCCTCAGGCCTCCAAGTCCAGTTTCTTGCTCGTGTGCTGGTTGAAGCAGTCCTGCGGAGGGCTGAGGGCTTACACAGGATATGTGCTGGATACTAAAGTAGGCATACTAGAACTTCAGGAGGAAAGAAGGCAGGAATGTTGCTCAGGACCTGGATGTGCTTACAGACGCAGGAACAAGGACACTTGCGGTTGTCCTGCCATGACAGGAAAAAGGTGGATTGCTGAGGAACGGCTCAAACGACGTGAGAGCAGGGCGCCGTCAGTCCTTCAACGCAGACTGCAACTTCCGTCGTCGATGGAGGTGCGCTGCGACCTGTGCGCGACTCCTGCCGGTCTCAGCAAGATCATGAAAGGATGATGTTGAGCTCCAGCTCTGCTTTCGGAGGTGGTGGGGGGGGGGGGGGCGGAAAACAAGCGACTTGGATGACCAATGCGGTTTGGAGAGAAGGTATGATATTTTTCGTATCACGCCGAACCCTTGGTGTGAGATCTCGCTACTGCCCCGATACCCTTGATTCTAAAAAAGCAACAGTCCACCATCCTTGTAACGAGATCCCTTGCGCAGGAGATTGAGCTCTCTCCGGAGTGGAAACTCGGACCCAGCCCAAAGGGATGCAGACCCCTCATGTCCGTTCTGGGTCATGCATCCTTCTTGGCCCTTGTGACGAGGGTTGTGAGCACAATGCCGTTGGGGCCCGGTGCTTCAAGCTGAACAGCCGTGCATTTTGCAAGCCTTGAGGGATCTGGGCCGCGACCCAGACCATGGCGATGACGGTTGAGGTGGTGAGGATGCTGGTAACGAGGCCTACTGCTGCTGCTGATGATGATGATGATGAGTATTGTGAGTGTGGTGATGGTGCTCCTGACATTGCTGCGAGCCCCTTAGCCTCACCAGAGCCCGACAGAAACACTCTCCTCGATGGGAGCTCTCCGAGGCTTTCCAGCAATCCCACCATCCTGTGAGAAAGCTTGGAGCTGTGGTCCCTAAACTTGGGAGCTTAGGGCGCTTCGGGGAGGTTGGAGTTCTGGCAGCCTTTTGAGGGCTGTACTCTGGCCTAGAAGACTCAAGGCCTCTGTACCGTCTCGTCGCAAAGTCCACGAAACGGCTGTGTAGGCTCCGAATTCTCATGACAGGAGCTTTTCGGATCCGAGGAGCAGTGGGAGTGAGGTTTTGGATTTCTGTAGGGCCGCGGGAAGGCGATCGCACACAAGCTCCAGGAGAACTTCGTCCTCAACCTCAGCTTCGCTGGCTTGTTGAAGTAACAGTTAGGGACTGTTTCTCATACTGGTATACTATAGTATACTACAATTTACTGTATATTATACTATATTATAGTCTACAATTTACTGTATATTATAAAATATTATAGTACGCTGTAGTATGATAGAGACTAGGTGATTTTTGCGAAGTTGCTATAGGCTCTGCTCACGCAGAGGTGTGAGGTGTTACATCTGCAGCACAACAGCTCCAGCTCGGGACCGGAAGTTTCAGAAAATGAAGGATCTGACAGGGGACCCAAGAGTCCGAGAGGCTATGATCCTTGCCAGAGGGAGCTACGAAACATTCAAATCAGCAATAAGACCCTCCCCCCGCCTTGTAGATGCTATGGGCTTCTGAGGTTTAGATCCTGCCCGGCCTCTTTTCCTGGCCAGGAACTCTAAAATGCCACATGGATGTACAGAGCTAGTCTAGGAGTCATTGCTGATAAGCCTAGTTTGTCTTTGACATGTTGGTTCAGCTGACGCCTGCACAGTCAGAACCCCTGGAATCCACCAGAGATGTTGCCTACACAATTGTTACAGAGGACGATCGCAGCCAAGCGGGCCGCACAACGGCAAGCAAGCTCATTTCGAGACACTAGTGCCATCTACTGCATACATGTGCTGCCCGAATTGTCACAGGCTCGGCGCGCTTCCAATACACGTCGCAGCTCTTCAAACCATCGCTATCGCGTTGTTCAAATCATCCCAAGCATCTCTGCATTTTTCCATGCATCAGCGAACTTCCCGCTCTAAGTGCGCCAACTGTACCGCATGTCTTTGCACACCGCTTGCTGAACATGCGACGGGGCCCTTTTGCATCACCTCTAGTCTGCTCTGGCAATTGTAGCAGCACGCATTGTAGCACGAAGTCCCGAAACAAAGGACTTGCTCAACTATATAATCTCCATGCAGCTCTTGGCAGTGACCCCAATCCGAACCCTAATCCCCTGCACCGCTGGCCGCTAACCCCAAACGCTACAACTCTAAATTTTCCTGAACCCCAAAACTCCAAAAAACCATGCACCCCAAACCCCCTAAACCTCTCAACCCCTAGCCCTAAACCCTATACTTTCCCATGTATATGTTTATGTATATATGTATATACACACATACACATATGTGTGTATATATACATATATATATACACACACACATTCCTGGACCAAGGATGACCCACAGTTCAAAAGCCGAGAGACGCGAAGGGCTCTCAATGCTTCCAAAAGATGCAGCACGGCCTGACGTATATACTATTTTAGGACCCATTAGAATGTGCTTTAAGGGATACCACAAGGATACTATAAGAATTTTTGGGATCTATTTTAGGACCCATTAGAATGTCCTTTAAGGGAAGGGGACGCTATATTTAAAAAAAGGATGTAGGGGCATTAAGAATTAGGATAGGGTTCCCTTTAAAAGGCGCGATATAAGGGCTACTATAAGGGATCTATCAAGGTTCTATAATATCGGGGCCTTCATAGTAAGAAGAATAGGGTTTAGGGGCCCATTAGATACTATAATTGTAATATAAGAAACCATCCGAAACAGAATTGGTAATTGTTAAGGCCCCTATATTAGGGGCCTCAACAACAATAAGGTTTGGGGTATAGTATTAGTCTCAGGGTTTGGGGTATCTCAAGTATCAGAAAAGGGCTTGGGGTATGTTATAGTAATCGTATAGGGTGTTGGGTGAAATATAGGATAAGGACAGGGCTTGGGGTATATCTTGGTATAAGAGTACTAGTATAATTTTCTGACCTTTCCATCATGTGAATGCACACGCTTGTGACGATGTTAAGATAAATGTGTGCAATCATGAGGGCTAAGAGGTTTAGAGTTCCCAGTTCCCGGATTGTACGGAGCATAGTTCATTCCACAGCAGGGAGTCTGCTGCGCTTTCACGGCCGCGGCACTTCCGAAGTGACCCAGAGCCTTCTCCCACTGGCTGGGGAAGACCTTCGAAAAAGCGTCCCAGTCCACGGCGCACCTTCAGATCACGGATGTGCGCCTGAGGACCCCGTACCACAACCAATGCATGCACAGCGGCTTGTATCTGCCGGTGTACTGCCACAAAGCGGACGCGAAGTAGCACCCGCAATCGTGCCTCATGCCGGAGCCCTTCCCTCCCATACAAGCCGCGTCCGTCTGCGCCTAGAATTAGAATTTAAGGCTATCAATTCAAGCGTCCTGGGGTGCATGTAAAACAGCTTCATCGTGACCTTGCCCTCGGCATCCCAGAAAGCCCTGTCGTCGTAGGCAAGGATACCGGTGGGGCCGAGGAGTTGGCGCCGCTTTTCCTCCTCGTAATCCTGAGTTGGATAGTGTGGGATATAGCACACATGTGTTCTGCCCGCAAGCAGGGAGCCAAGGTGCGGCCAAGGGGATAAAGGTGTCGGCAGCATCGAACTCCTCTTCGGCAGCTGTCAAGGTTGCCTCGGCCTGTTTGACCTGCTCCTCGGCCCTTTTCACGGCTGGCGAAACAAACCGAGGGTCCAAAGTGGCGGAAGCTCTGTGTGCTTCCTTGAGCCCATCCAAGGCCACTTCGACCTTTTTCTGGGCTGTCTCGATTCTTTCCGTCGCCTTTGCCGTATTGTGCACAACCTCGGCGAAGCCTTGGAAGTGCTTGAAGACGGTCGAACTTTTGAAGGCTTCGCACAGCCTCGCAAAGGCAAAAGGAAATCGTTTACAAAGCATGGCCGATGCTATCTAATCTTGCGACCATGCCACGCGTGCGCCACCTTCTGTTGGAACGCAGAATACATCTGCCGTTCCCGCTCCGCCCGGGAGAGATCTTTACGCGAGTTGTACTCCTCGGAGATAAGCCGGGCCGGCAAAACTCTTTCCACTGTGTGGCTTGACGATGTCCCCCCCAGACCGACCTGGGTTGCTTCCTTGAAGGCAGCACCCCGGAGGCGTCGCTTAGCGTTCTTCGCGTGCACCATCTCCGTCCTGCCAACCGAACATCTACGAGGCTTGGGACATTGTTCAATCCACGGATATCCACGGCCTCACTTGAGCGATGATGTCTTGCAAATCCCCACCCTTGGCGACTTGGCGCAGGGCAGCCTGATCGAACGCACACCTACTGCATGAAGACCGCATCACGGCTGCGACCTCGCAGTTGAAGCAAATCCACTTCTCATCATCATCGCGACGCCAAAGCCAGGTGTGCGGGTACGGCCTTACGGTGTCTCAGTGTTGATACTGACATCTGGTTTACTACCTCCGCTAAGGCGCTTCCCGCACTTGGAGCACGGGTACTCTTTCTTTCCCGCGTCCCTACCGCGTCCTGTGGACGTTTGGCAGGGGGCTCCTGGTCGGAAACAAGGCGCCAAACTATGTTGAAAGGTACGACATGTACCACACGTTGGATATTACATGATGTTACACATTCCGGATCAGTCCTTCGTCTTCGCTACCCGTTTTGCGAGGACCCTTTTTCCCACGAGAGTTGCTCCTGCGATGGCCCGGGGGCAACAGGGCCGTTAACTCATGCGTCCTACATGCTCCTCACCCTGGGGGCGGGCTCGGTGTCGCAAGCCGCCATGCTCCAGTCGGAGCTCCTTTGAAGGAGTACAAATGAGGAAGTGATGTGCTTAGAATGGCACGCTCGCACCTCACATGCAGATTGCCGCAAGCGCGCTCCTCCAACCGTCCTGGTCCCAGGATTCCTCCCAAGACCAGCTGCCGGAGGACCACCCACTCCACGGCATGCAAACCACCGCGATGCAAACCGCAGCACCACACAACATGGTGCGGAGGCTTTCGAAGGTGGGGGTCTGCTTGACAGTGCTTGAAACTCAAAGAGCGCTTCGGTTGTAGAGATGGACGAGTGTCAAAGCAATTCGTCGCCAAGTTTTGATCTAGGACAATATATATATATATATATATATATATATATATATATATATCTATATATATATATATATATATATATATCGCCGAGACGGACAGCATCACGGCGTTTTTTTCGTCATTCGACCGCAAGATGCACCACGTTTGTGCACGCATGCGCACGCACTCCGGCAGTGTAATTCGCTCAATGCTCCCAACACGCCTGATGTATCGCTGACAGAAACATGACGGCGTGGTTTCGTGTTTTCGTTACTCCACCGCGTAGCGTGCGAGGGGCGGACTGCACAGTCATGGGCTCGGGGCCGTTACCATGGGCCCGCTGCTTCAGATTCCTGAGGTTGGTATCTCCTGTGACACAGCCACGGCCTTGCAGTACTTAGCAAAGCAGAATGCCTGATGGCTGTTGATCACTTCTGTATGATCAGCAACGTCCAAGACGATGGTGACCCCTTACAGTCACACACAGATGCAAACATGTACATAATATGTGTGCAGCTACATATGTGCGTATGTATGCAAATGCACATGTACCCATCCACACTGAACACGCATTTTGTACACCAAAAAGAAAACCTCGCGCCCCCGAAGCCCAGCTTTCCCATGCGCGTCCACTGAATGGCCTCGGGGTCCAAGCGCCAGTCCCCATAGCCACGCTGACGCAATGCCTGTTGGGAAGGTCTGAAGACCCTGGGGCGATTGAGCTTTCAGAGGCTTTCACCAATGTAAGAACAGTATCATATCAGTTTCCCTGTAACCGTAGCGACCCGGAGTATTGGCAGTCCATTCTTGCAATTTTGCACTCCTGCATTCCCGATCATCATCGTTTTTGACCTAAAACTCCCAACCCCGAAGACCAGAGCGACGGAGAGAGAGAGAGAGAGAGAGTGACGACAGGCAGTAGGACCAAACAGCCACCAGCAATAAAATGTCGGCAGGGATGACAGACAAGGAGCTCCCTCTGAGACAGATGGGGGGAATCAGCATAGTCTTCGATGCAGGGCAGAGGCGATAATACTCTTGCCTGCGTTACAGTAATGCTTCCACAACTATTATTGGATATTTGGGGTCTTGAAGCAATAGGGAGAATTCAGGGATGGGAATTCTTACTCCTCGGCCACGCGGTAGCATGGGCTTAGAGACCTAGCAAAAAACCTGCAGGTCAGACCGGGCTGTGTAAGTTTTAACTTGGTGTAGCAAGTCTTGAACTGGAGCATTCATGGCCCGCTGTGTGTAGCTTCGTTTTCGGGTTCCAAATCACTGGCAGCTACAGCTACATAATCGGTTACACCCACACAGGCACTACATTTGTTGGACGGCAGGGTATAACTTAGGGCTTCGAAACCTCAAACCGAACAACTTCGAGAGCCTGAACCGCAAAGCCTCAAGAAACTGAGCCGTGTATGCCTGTTATAGAGACTATAGAACTCTTGACCATATTAGAGGAACACTTTTGGCTTAAGGTGCTGAAAGTAACCATTGTGGTACGTACTCTTGTTTTTGCAACCCTTAGGAAAAGCCATCGTGTTCAAGGCCTGTAAGAGTTCCTCCACGAAGCTCTGAGGAAGGCTAACCAAACGCATGTCTGCCTTGGCTTAAGGGTTTGGGGTGCAGGCTTTTGGGTTTGTGGTTTAGGCTTTTGACTCAAGGTTATGAGCACGGTCTCCGTTTGCGGTTTTCTGTGCTCTGACTGAACCTGAGGTGCACCCGAACCTGCCCACATGTCTACGCAAATCTCAAATCGACGCATAGGACCGCTTAATTGTTCATTACTGACAATGTTTCAGTGCATCTGTCTGTCTGTCTGTCTGTCAAGTCAATCTATCCACCGGTTGCTTTATCTGTGCCGAAACACACACCAACCAAAAAGCCAACCAACAAAACAACCAACCCGCCCGGCAACCCACCAACCCGCCAACCGACCCACCGATCGACCAAGCGAACAGACAACCAAGCGACGAACAAGTCCGAACAGGCACGCACCGGCACACGCATGCACGATCATGCACGCACATGCACACAGAAACACACAGAAGCGCACACACGGAGACACACATGCACGCGCGTGCACAGACAGAGAGAGGGAGAGAGAGAGAGCGAGAGAGAGAGAGACAGACGGACGGACAGGCAGGCAGGCAGGCAGGCACAGACCCAGACCCAGACGCAGACGCAGACACAGACACAAACACAGACAAACACATGTGGAAACACACCCACACACACACACTCACACACGCACGCACACAGAGGTACACATGCACACGCGCGCACACAGACAGACACACATATACAGAGACACACGCACACACACACACACACTCTCACACACACACGTGCACGCAAGCAGACACAGACACACACACACACACACACACACACACACACATGCACATGCACTTGCACATACACATACGCATACACGAACACATGAACAAACATGCTGGCATACACGCATACGTACGCATGCACGTACACGCACCTACACGCATACACATATGCCTATGCTTGGACATATCTTAACCCTACCCATCGACGTGGACACAGACACGGACATTGGCATCTATATATATATATATATATATATAGATGTATGTTTACTTGTTTTTTGTATGCAGCATACATATATGATTACATATGTATGTGTCTACATGTGTAACTTTCACATGTATATGTGCCGGGGTCCATTGCCCTGGTACTGTGCAAGTGTCGAGTAACTCGAACTCCAGCACGAAGATTCGATCTGCTGAGTGAGTGCCCTCGAACCAGGTTTTTTTGTTGAACGCCTTTTTGCGACTGCTAGAAGAGTCTTCGAACCAGGTTTAGGGTTTAGGGTCAGGCTTAGGTAAACATTTCCTTTCATTCCAATTCCGACCCGAGAAAGGGCGGAACACCGACAGCGAATGCAATGCATTAAGGAGCTTCTTATTGACTCGAATAGGGTTAGGGGTATATTCACTTTCTGCCGTCACTATTCAAGCGGGGTCCAAAGGGACTACTAGTAGTTCAATTCACATTTCTCAGATCCGCATGTGTTATCTTTCGAACTCGGCCCAGTTGCTGGAAGGCGAGAAACTGTGGTCAGCACCACGATGTAGTCCTACTGCAACCAGCATACCCTCACTGTTTTGTACATCTACGTTTCTTGTGCTCCGCATTGTACTGGCTTACACGATCGCCTTTTCATCGTTGCCTGTTGGACACTTTTGTCCACGTGTGACTTTACACCGGCACACTGGTTCAAGGCTCCTGCGCTGAGAGGCGGTCAAGATGTCTCAAGATGGTCTCCTAGGTCTGGGACCGAAAGATTCGGGAAACATATGGGAGTTTCCGAAAATAGGGGTACCTTGTATTGGGGTCCTTATAATCAGGATCCTACTAGTCAGGGTATCATATTAGGGTCCACTATTTTCGGAAACTCCCATATCGATGTCAAGACCTCTGCAAGATCAAGGGCTTAGAGTGGCTTTTTGGGATGCTCAGGGCATGGGGGGCTCATGTTTCCGGCCTCATATTTTTGGGAAATCTCGGACAAGCAAAGGAGCCCGTCCGTAAAACCTAAATCCAGAGACTCCAATATCCCTTAATCAAAGAATATACCTTAAATTATAGTAGGATCCCTAATATGATTTAAGGAATATTCCTTAAGGGATATTGGGGTCTCTGGGAACCCTGAGTCCTGAAGCCCAGTGTCCCCTAGCGTTCGGACTGTGGCGATGTCAACCTGCTCGGCCTCCGCGAATGCCACGAGAGCCGCGACTGCCTCGGAGAAGATGCTCCTTTAAGGGTTCCTCTAAGGGATACTATAAGGGTTTACAGGTTCCTTTAAGGGTTCCTTTAAGGGATACTATAAGGGCACAAAAGGGATACTATCAGGGTACTGTAAGAGATTTAATATACCCTCAAACCCTATTCTAATTATTAAGGCCCCTACACTACCTACTGTAATGTCATAAACCGAAAGCATCCCTTCTCGGTGCTGTTTCGTCGAAGATCTACATCTTGTACCGTCTTCCTTCCGACCTCCACAACTGCAAGCACAGGAGCGTGCGTCCCAAAGAAGACGTGGCTCAGCTGCGATGCGCGCCGTCTGAGTGCCTGCTAGACTCCTAGACCAGCATCCATGCACTCAGAAGAGCGTTCCGGAACACATTTGCGAACCAGCAAAACTGCATAGGGCCATTTATCATTACAATCACAACGGGATGGTTGGATCCTTTATACTTCTAGTATAACTACAATAAGGAACCCAACGGAATAGTATTGGTAACACTGCTTTAGAAACCTTTTTCCAGTGAAATATTGATACCAACCCAACAGGGCCAAAGGTTTCCTGCCCTGGGGCTATATAAAAAACTGTCTTCGCAAGCTCATTGTGTTCGACAAGAATTCTGCGGAACCTCGAACAGTGGAGCATCTGCCACGCTGCCTGGGACTGGAAGAAGCTGAACTCTTGTTTTGCAGCTTCTGGACAGGAAATGCTCGTGACTGTGCGTTCCAGGAGTACTAGAGCTTAGGTCTCAGGCGATGCCTGCAGGGCCTGACAGGGCAGACCTACCTCCACAAGGGTCGCATGCCAATGAACTCAACTGCTCTTAGAGCCAAGGAAGGGGGAGCACGGGCATGATTGCATGCTTCTCTTTTATGATTATCTGAAACACGTCGAGAGGCAAGCATTCAGACCTCGAAGAACGCGTGCGAGCTGCTTGGGCGAGAGCTCGTCGACTACGCTTTTCCTTGAGTCTGACCGTGAGATGTCTTTGCACCCTAGATCCAGTGCTTGGCTACGCAGCAAGAACTGCCCGGCCGGCTTCCGGCCCAGTGCTGGCTCAGCGATTGGCGAATGGAGGCTGACGCAGATCTGGTGAAAGGCGTGGAGCAGAAAACACCCCAATTGCGGAAAGCCCGGCCACGACGACGACCACGACAATGCAGCAGTACAGAGGCAGCAAACACTTGCAAAGCAATCTTCCACAACTGACTGAAGACTATGGCGGTGATGGTAATTGAGATGGTGACGATGAGGTTGTGGTGTTGGTGATGAGGATGATGTGAAAAACACTGTAGTAATGGCAAAACATGTAATCGTGATGGTCAGCGCGATGTGGCGATGATGGTGCTCATACTAATGATGGAGGCGGCTTTCGACATGATCCTCACTAACAGTCGTCGACACCAACATCAACGTCAAAATTGCCATCACCCACAATGTGCGTGCGGCATCTTGTGACTTTCGTGTCCATGTCCTTCTTCTGGCTTCGGACCTCGTCTGGTTCTAGCTTCGTTATCTTGTGTGGTCGTGTGAGTCGGCTCCTAAGTTTCACAGCCGGGCGTCAGCTGCTGCGAAACCGCTGGAATCAGCTCGGGCACGGCGTAGGAGACAGGTGAAAAGATCAGCAAGGCCACCTTGGGCACAGGCTACCTTAAGGGATGCTCTAAGGCTATAAGGAGTTCTATACGGGTTGCCGTAAAAGTTTTCATGTTCGCTGAACAGCAGGTTTGCTTCTCGCAAAACTTGTTCTGCACAATGCTCTATCCTCTTGAGGTGGAGATGATTGTAAACCGAGAAATGTTCTGAGCCCAAGACCGCGTTTGTTTCTATGTGATGCAACGGGCATAGTGACGCATTGTGTGTGCTTCCTGTCTGCCGCGAGGCGATTCTGTTTGTCGGCACCTTCCCCATACTTCGTGCCAAGGGGCAGACACTTCATGCGGGCCCATGTCACTCACTTTGGACTGCAGGGTGTCCGCCAGGTCGGCGATGAAGTCGGTCTCGGCTGCAGAAGCCTTGGCAAAGGACTCGGCCAAGGTACAAAGGTCTCGTGGCCCGAAGTCCAGCAAAAAGGATCGCGCGGCAGGCATCAGGTAGTCTTTGAAGGTGTCGTTATCGGAACCGCCTTCAGAAAGCGCAGCTGCAAGCTGCACCACGGCTCGTGGGGTGCAAAGGTGCACTTGGTGGTGCACAGCCCTGTCAGCCATTTCCAGGAGCTTTGGAGGAAAAGTTCGCAGCGCTGCAAGCCCTGCAGCTGCAGCGGCGATGTCGTTCACTGGCAAGCCCTCACCCTCCGCGCCCTCCACGATGCACTCTGCGACACCTTTGGCCAACTGCATTCCACCGGAAGTTCGGAGCTTGACAAGTGCTGGTACCAAGGTTGCGGCAGATTTCGGAGGCAGCTCTTGACAGCGAAGCTCCAGGGTGGAGACCAGCTTCTGCTGCAACGCCAGGCCCACCTTGGACGCTGAAAGCTCCGCAGAAACAGCCAGGCTCGCCAGGACGAGGCTTGACTGCGCAGGGCTCAGGTCGTCCAGACGGTCTTTGGCTACTCGCACCAAGGTGTCGGCTGCCATGGCTGCTGAGCTCTTAAGTGCACTTCCAGAGCCCAACGCCCCGAGGCGGGCAACGCCACTAATGGCTGCAGGAAGAACCCAAACCTCAGTGCCTGGGACGTGGTCGCCAAGAGTCGTCAGCATGGGTGGCAGCCGTTTGTCCCGAAGTATTGGTAGCCGCTTTGAGCCGGTGGCTTGTTTCGCCAGAAGCTGCAGCGACATTGCCAGTTGCCTGGGCGGCGGGTTCATTCGAGGTTGGTCCCATTTGGGCCAGTCATGCACTGACAGGAAACCAACACACTGGTAGCAACACATAGGCAACCGTGACATGCACGTGTTTCTCTGATACTAAGCCGACGGAGCAAAGGACTCCTCAGAATTCACACATACATGTTCAAAGGCAGCTTAGGTAATCATCCGCCGGGCGAATTTTCCAGTCAGGATTTTTGTGACAAAGCCGCAGCAAGCTGCCACAAATGAAGACTATGGCCCCAACACATGCACCAACACATGCATATGGGTAGCTCACAAAAATAGGATCCCTGCCTAGGTGCCCGAAATAGAAAGGCACCCCTATACAAAGGACCCGAAACGTGACACTAATTTAAAGAACTATCCATATACTTTCCTAAACCCTGAACCTCTAAACCCCCTTAAACTACCCATGTGTTCATAACGTCCGTAGGTCTTCACAACGAAAATCCGAAGCCCAAGGCGCCCCAATCGCCGTGCGCGCTGCGCAGCGTCGGTTTCCACTTTCACTGCCTACAGAGGGTTATATGCTTATACATATGTGTATATATATATATATATGTATGTATGAATATATTTATTTATATGTACTCATACTCACATTTACATGTGTGTATATATATATATATATATATATACATATTAGTTCTGTTTACATCATGTATGTGTGTATACGTACATATATATATATATATATATATATATGTACATATTAGTTCTGTTTACATCATGTATGTGTGTATACGTACATATATATATATATATATATATTGAGGAGAAGGAACGGGTTCGCTGGAATTCGCATCAAACTACGTTGTGCAAATCATTCGCACACCGAAGAAATCAGAAGAACCGTGGATGTACATGCGCGGACCTGCTTACCACTTGTCTGTTCGGGGGACCTAGTTGCAAACACAAGATTGGCAGCTCCCTTCGTTCCACCAACACGTGTAGAAGAGGCCTAGGTCTGGCGTGATGTTACCCTAGTAGAAAACGACTCCAACAACATCAAGATCGTGAGGCGAGGACCCCGATTTAAAAGACCCCTATTTTGTCTGTTGACATCTGCTTCGAGGCCCATGGACCGATGTGTGTAACAAGCTGCTCAAGACAGTGCTGTTTCTCCTCGTACTTCGTCCTGACAGAACGAAAAACACTGCAATGCCTCCGATGGGAGCAGTGACGACGGCGACAAGGCAAAGCTAAGGTACAGAAGTCGGAAGAAAGATAATAATGTTCCTTACCACTCTTACAGTTACAACTGCAATATATCCAAAGGCCCCAGCCTCCACAGCTCGTGCACCGAGGGCCAACACCTTCTGCAAAGGATGACTTCCTAAAACAAATTCCCAAAACAAATCTGAGAATGTTTGGGGCTTGTGGGGCTTAGAACAGTTGGGGGTAGTTGCTTGAATGTGATATTTGCTCATGAAGCCACTAGCCAGTTCGGCAGAAGATGCCACTTCATAATGCCAACTTGCGGGGTCTTGGTCTGATGGACCTGCATCATGTACAGAGATTGAGTGTCTCGAAGCGTTAGAAATGTGAATGCTTTGGGGCTCAGGCCGTGCATGCATGCTGTTTGGTGTATCATGTCGAGACTTGCGGAATCCTGACACTGCCCCAGCCGGTAAGGCGGCGCCTTGCGACCAATTTTCACCTGCCAAAACCTCGAAGCCATGCAATGCAATGATCCAAGACACTCAGACCTCTTATCCTGCAAACCTCGGCGCCCTGCACTACACCTCCGCCATGGCACACATCAACAAGTTCAATAATTCATGCAACTTGCAGGCAGATGAGCCCGACATGCTCACAGTCAGATCCCTGAAGCGCTGCTGGCGAGACTAAACAGGCTTATGCAATCCGCCCATGCAAGCTCTCGAAGAAGAATTATCATGCGTTACAGCAATCGCTCTAAACACAAATCTGCCAGTCCGCACTAAACTTTAAACTGCTGGTGCCTCCCCCGCACTTCGCGCCGACTGGAGGCGCTCTGCCACGGCGACAGCATGCTCTGGAAGTCCGGGTACCTGCGACAAGGGCACCCCAACGACAAAGGCCAATGTCAAAAACGATGATCGCGGCGTTGGCTTTCACCGCTCTCATGAACTGGTGAAGACAGTAAGGGAATATGAATAGTGCTGCAGTGGGTGCTGCTGTTCGTGATCTGGGAAGTGACGATAATGGTGATCATGATGCGGAGGAGGATGAAGATGAAGATAAGCAACCAATATGATGATGAAGCTTGAACATGACGATGAATATCAAACGACCGTGAAACACGGAGGAGGAGGATAAGGTGATCGGGAGAATGCGTGGAACGGTTGGTGGCAAGCTGTCCTGGATGAAGCTGCTTCTGGTAATAGTAAGCAGTTCGGTCAAGACTGGCAATGGAAATCGAACTGGTGTGAGGAACCAGCAGCGCCACTTGCACCAGTACTAGCACTAGCACCAGCACCACTAAAACAATAACAGCAATAACAACCCCAACAACACCAACACCACCACCAACAACAACACGACAAAGACAAAGACAAAGACAAAGACAAAGAAGGAGGCAAACAAAAAGCAGATCAGGGAGGTAAACGGCTTGGGATCTGTGACCTGGAAGCTTCGAGTTCTGCAGTCGCAAGGTCTTCCGGCGCTAGCAGCAGCACACTTCGACGAGTTGGTGATCGCGACGTGCTGCAGCCCAAATGCCCCTAAGAATGGTAGTAGTAGTAATAGTAGTAGTCGTCGTCGTCCTGTGCCTCAACCCCCCCAACAACAAAAACATTACATGAAGCTCTGCCAAGACCACCTCCAAGCCCTCCAGGAGTCGCGTCGGAGGAGGATCAAGCTCCCGGATCCTCGGCTCGGCTTGCTTTTGGGCTCTTGTTTTGAGGTTTAGGGCAGATTAGTGGTATTCGGGTGCTTTGCAGGCTTCTGCGAAATGAGACGGATATCTTATGATGGAGGTCCTTATTGAGGGTCTTCTTAACAAGGGTCCTACTGGTGCTGAGGCTGTTGCGGGCTCGTCGGCAAGTGCTTACGACGCCAGGCTTCCGGAAGGCTGAAGCCCAAAACCCTAAACCCCAAACCCTCAATCCCTACCCCTACGGCGCTATAATGGATGTTATCAGGCTGTTGCACTTTAGGACAGGCCAAACATGAAACCCTCTCAGGTCTGTCCAGGAGCGAAATATTCCAAAGTTGATTCGAGACGCCGCTTTGCTTGGAAGCCCGAAGCCTTCAAGCAACGGGCGTCACTGGCGGTTGCATAGTTCTTATATATTAGTGCTGCCATCCGTTGAAATTGGGGTCAGAAAATCGCGAATCCCCCTCGAACCAGGCTCAGGAAGGCCAAGTATCTGCGGTTCCTCGGGAGTTTCTTTGACGGCAACGCCACGCTCAGGCATGAATCCAGCGGCATCCCCAAACTCCTTGAGATGCGTTTAGGAGCTTAAGGTGGAGGGCTCTCGCATTTAGGAACTTGACGTGTGGAACTTTCGTATATTCAGGAATTCAACTTGTAGAACTTCAGTATTGCAGGAACTGAAGGTGTGCTGCTGTCGCATTTCGCAACTTGAGGCGTGGAGCCTTGGTACTTGAGAACTTCAGGAGCAGAGCCTTCGGCTTTATCGTTCAAACTTTTCGGATTGATGGTGGGAACCCCAACATGTTGGTGTAGCGTGTAGTGGTTTCGGCTTTAGGATCTGCGGGGGTGGTGTGTGGGGGGGAGGCTGTGGCTCGTCCTCATGCACGAACTTCTATTCAGATCTGCTGCAGTAATATAGGGGCCTAAATAATTACCAATACTATTTTGGCGTCATTATAGAAAACGGGGCCCAAAACCTTATTCTAAGTACTAAGGCACCTATATTATGTACCTTGAAGACAAGCCCACCTTCCTGATAGTCTTTATCTCAGACATGCTTGATATGGAGAGTGTCTCTCTCGGGGCCTAGAATTTCACTGGTCGAAGTTATCGAAGATTGCTGCTTCAAGTTGCTAAGGCTTGTGTGCTAGACTTCGGATTTGGCTCGAAATCGAGAGTTCAGGCTTGGTCGATTCGAGGATTAGATGGGCTTAAACTGACTTAAACTGAAACCAGGCAATGAAAGACTTGGTTGCCTAGCTTAATGTTCTGTAAGAGCTGTACAAGGGTCTATGGGCTTCAATGGCTACAACATTGCGGGGGTGGTCCTGCTAATCGGGGAGCAGATGAGAGTGCTCCGGTCAGTGTGGAAGCAAGGCATGCAACAAGACTGGGGACTGTCTGCCTGTGATCTCTTATAAGGTACCAGCCCTCATCTACCAATAAAAGCTGTGGCAAGAAGGCCAAGTACAATTCAGGTTTTTCAACCACCTTCCTGGAATAACAGCCTTTGCTCCGGCTGCAACCCTCAACCCCTAAATGCTGAACTGCTAAACTCTACTCAAATTTGCCGAAGCCCTCGTCGCAGCCGGGCTTCGCCGCGGCGGCTTGACAGGGCCTGAGCTCGGTCTTTGCAGCGACAGTTTATAGGGTCAGGGGTTGAGTGTCTGGGTTATTTCGGGGTACAATGAGTAGCAGGGGCCTGGTCTGGATACATACAACAAGCTATGCTAAGGGTGATGGGTGCGACAAACTTTGGATGGAAGCCATGGCTACGCAAGCATTCACGTTTAGGGCCAGTGTTTTTTTTATGGTCCCTGGTTGGACACAAATCTTTGCAACAACTGCTAAAGAAACTTGAAAGCCCTTTAAGAAGTATCCACACAGAACAATCTACTTTGTTAGGGCGCAGCCTGAATGCTGATCCAAAAAACCCCTCATGTTAGTCCAGGAAGCCCATCCCCCAAAGCGAAGATGCACACAGACACGCATGCACAACAACAAAAACATAAAAACTGCAAACAACACAATCCAACAGCAACGCCCGCCCCGGCGACCACCGTAAGTGTGTTGCAGTAGGATTTAAGGTTGCAGTTTCAGGTTTAGGATCCAAAATTGAAACTGTGGATAATCAAGAATCGGTCTGATGGTCAGAGCCATGAACACAAACACCAAATCGTGAAGAGATAAACAAGATCGAGTACCCAACATGCGGAGTCAACTAACTGTGCAACTGTGTATATAGTGCACCGAGAACTTGTCGCGAACCTCACCAGCATAACAGTAGCGGCGACACCAATCATTAAATTGACATGAAGATACTGCTAAGAATCTTGATCATGTTGACGACCGTACAAAGAGCAGCCGAGTCCATACTACGATCAAGGCAAATAGGAATGATTGAAATGTTCGACTGAGCAAGGAGCCCAAAACGACAACCTCGAAATCCAAAACCCCCTTAATAGGAGATGGGCGATACTCCTATAATCTACACCCCCCTAAAGGCCCGAATCACACAAAGACCGCCACCTCCTTCTCCTCGGCCCACTCGCGCTGCTCGCGCCGGCCAGGCAGGAGGTGTCTCAGTAAGTCAACACGATGAACCGACATGATGTAGGGGCCTTAACAATTAGAATAGGGTTTTGGGCTCCTTTACAGCATAGCTATAATAAGGAACCCTAAGGAATAATGTTGCTAATTATTTAGACTTCTATAGTAGGCTGGGAACTCGTAGGCTGAGACGTTTGGGGCTTTAGACTTTCAATTCTGTGCGAGGCGTGGCTGTGCAAAAGAAGACACAAACTTTCTGGGGCTTGCGGCGTTTATATCTGGGTTCAACATTCAGGGGCACTGCAGAAATTTTGGGTGTTGGGAGGGAGAGTTTTGGAAGTTGCATCTCGGGATGCTCGTGCTTTGGGTCGGCTTCAGGGGTATCACGATGAACCATATCAGCCTCAAAGAAAGAACAAGACCCACAGCTAAGTCCAACAAAACTTGAAGTGCACATCCAGTCTCCGGCTTCGCGCGCTTCGTGCGGCCTTCTGTCTCCGCTGCTCTGCTTCTCGGACCTGCGTTTTGCAGAAGGCGACGTGCAACTCGTCTAGGCTCACGTCACAGCCCTGTGAGTCTAACCATGACCTGAGCTGGTGCGCTGCAGGGCCTGCATTCCCAATTCTTTGGTTGAGCCTTGGTCTCGTGTCCCGTAGATATGCCTTGATTGCAAGTCATCCTCAAGCTTCGAAACTCACCGCTCAAGATCCATGAAGAGTGAACACTCGTCATTGGGTCATGACGATGATGACGAGTTTTCTGCTCTTCAGCGGTGGACTACTGATAGAAAAAACCCTGAGGTTGTTTAGGACCCCCACCCAAGCAAAATTAGGATAGGGATATCCCAAATAAACCCCTTATAGTGAAGCCCAATAAGGCAGGGGCATCCCTAAAAAATCCTTATGCTTATGTGCCTTTTGGGTCCCTAATTGTTGTTGTTGCTGCTCATGATGATGATGATGATGATGACGATGGTAGTGATATTTCAGAAGCGTATACGAAGATTACATATTCATGGATGGTGGTGATGAATCGGGACATGTATCATGCACAATGACTCCCCGTCCCGATGCTGCTGGCACGAGGTTCACATCCCCCCACCCCACCCCCCCCTCAACCCGGCAGTGAACGTCCAGGTGCCGTAATCTTAAAGCCCCAAACTCCGAACCCTGAAACCCTCTCCCCTCGCCCACACCAACCTCACCTCTTCCCAGAAGGCACGTGGCAGCTCTTCAGCACCACGCCGAGGTGCTCCGCTGCCGAAGCGGCGAATGGCTCGGGCCCACATGGCGCCATGGTGCAGGGCTTGCAGTGCACAAAGTCTTCCAGGAATACTTTAGAGTCTAAGGTGCTGTGAGGCATGCGGAAGGTATGTCCGTCAGGCATCTAGGACGTTGAGCTTGTGTTCGTAATGTTTTTGGGGTGCGGAGGGATGTCGGTGTGGGTAAACCTTCTGGAGCGATGCATCGATCGTGTTGTTGGGAGTTTGAGGCTCCAGCGCTCGGGCCAACTAAGTTGAGTTGGGGGTCAGGGTCTCTGTTGCAGTCACTCATGGAAGTCACAAGACAGAAAACACAACCATTCTCCTTGATAGGATGTGGGAGAGCTCGAGATGGGAAGTGCTTGGGGACGTCCTTCCAGGTCATTGTACTGCACTGAAGCCCTGTTCGGCTTTTCATGTCCTTCGCGAGTGGACTCTTGAGCAGTCGATGAGCTTCGGTATGCGCGAGTGCCGGAGCCATGACAGAACGAGGCCATCACAGTTCAGAGGACATGTGCAGCACCGTTCCCTGTGGCAGACACTCGTGGGGAAGATGCACAATACTAGAGAAGACGTAGGACCTTGACATGCCGCAGCTCCAACCCCAGAAACCCTAGGTCTAAAACATTGGTCGCTGCTGGTAGTGAACCTAGGACTTAGCTTACCCATTGAACGTCGTGGCCTGCAGTGGCAATGGCGGGCCCGGAGTCAACAACTGCGAACAGGTATTCGGTTCATCTTGGAAAACGCAAACTTGGGTCGAAGACACGACACATCACGTTCGTCAACCACATGGAACGAATCGAAGAACCCAGTCTTGAGATCAAGGTCCTCGGTCCAGAGCCAGGGGTTCTGGTTCTCTGCAATCCTATACAAGATGGTCTTGCATGCCACTCTGCGCCATAAAGTCCTGTCGTAGATATGTTACTGCTGCGCTGCCCATGGTCCCTGTCCAAGAAGAGCCTGCAGCTTCTTCACAGGTTCGCAAACAATCAAGCATCTCTGAAGGCTGCAGGCCTTCGAAACCTCAAGTCACAACACCTTCCCACCTCGTGGCCACGACCGCTTTGTCCCAGCCCCAGTCGTGGGGCCGGAATCTTGGTGGTGCACTTGCTTTTGAAGGCTTCGGCAAGGTTGCGAATTCTTGGGCACGGGACAAATGTAATATAGGGGCCTTAGTAATTAGAATAGGGCTTGGGGGTATATTATACCATAACTATAATGACGCCACTAGGCCCCTATAGTAGGTCGTAGCAGCAGTAGCGGTGATTGCTGTGTTTCTTTTCGCACACTGGCGACAAACCGTGAGCCGTGCTTGGTGCTTGGACAGAAGTCTGCCACGATTACCCAGCTCCTCCGAACACGTGCGGCTTTGAACCCTTCCTAAGCTCGTCCGGAGCATGCGCTCCTTTGCAAAGGCTTTGCCCAAATCGTAAAGATTCTTCCAAATCCCCGCAAACACGACGTTGCCACATGTATATCTCGGACACTCTGGCCCCGAAACCCTAAACCCTAACTCCAGAGCAACACTTCCGAAGGCGCAGGACCCTTCTGACCAAGCTGGCGGCGTCGTCATCGTCATCGTCCAGAAGCCCGTGAGGCAACTGGGGCCTCCAGTGTCACCAGCTTGTCGAACTCCGGAGCGTGGTTCAAGACAAGTATCCGGTTTGGGAGGTTGCATATGTTATGAAAAGTTCCCAGTTGAGCTCTTAAACAGTCGTCTGCCAACGACTTTTCAGGCCGCGGTCCACCACAGCTGATGACCGGCACACTCCTCGACACTGCTAACGGATGCTCGAAACGGCTGACCGAGAGAGAGAGAGAGATAGGCAGGAGGGAGAGTCGCGCGCGCGTGTGTGTGTGTGTGTGTCATGCAGCAGCATAAACATGAATGCTCGTGTGGGGCCATAGACCAGAAACGTGTTACAAACTCGATCACACCATAAAGACGTTGCATGTTTACAGCGATGGAGAGGACTCACTAACACTACAACTGCCATACAGCAGGGTGGATGAGTGCTGGGAGCTCCTTGCAGGCGTTTGCAAGCTTCAACCAAGGATCTCACTGCAGATCGTTGAGACTGAAGGTCGAGTAAGCTACCAGCAACTATGTGCTTCGTGAACAATCGCAACGAGACCCTCCTCCTCGACTCACAGCTAAATCACTCCCGAAAACATTAAACGCCTCAACTCCGAAACCCCAAACCAAACAAGCAAAAGCACAACCCTAAAGCCCGAAAGACCCACAAACACAATGTTTCAACATTTCGTAGCACAAAACCCCTTGCTAGACCCTAAACCCTAAACCCGCAAACGTTCACAGCCTGGCTTCTACTTCATCCTCCAGGACTCCTCCAAAAGATGGCTGGTTGCGGGGAGCGGGCCGAGGCTCGCTGCGTCTATCCATATCTACCTCTACCTATCTATCCATCTATCTGCATGTATACACACACGTATACACACACACACACATATATATATATATATATATATATGCATATATGATGTATAGCCGAGATATATATATATATATATATACATATATATATATATATATATAGGTAGACATGTAGTTAGATAGACAGCCAGAGAGAAGCAGACACAGACAGATAGACAGACCGACGTGCAGGCAGACAGTCAGACAGTCAGACAGTCAGACAGACAGACAGACAGATGCAACAACCATCTACCCTCGGTTTACATACTGTTTATAGGGTGTGTAGCTCTATGTACATATGTGCATACACATGCACACCATAACCTCTTCAGCTGTCAGTCTGTCCGTCTGTGTGTCTACCCGTCTATATACAAATCTGCCTGGCTGAGGTGCTGAAACCGGATATGTGGGTAAGAGTGTGTGTACATGCACATGTGCGTGTGTATATATATATACATACATATGTATATAACTATATATGTATACACATATATCAAGACATGTGCATATAACATATATATATATATGTGTGTGCGTTCATTATCTACATATATACATATACATATATATATATATATATATATATATATAGATATGCATGCATATACACAGACTTGCAGGACGAAGGGTAACGCATCCCCGGTCTTCCTACTAATTTATATAACTCAGTTAGCGACTCAGCATGCATTGGAAAGTATATCCAAGCAGCATACAGACAGGGTTGGTGCGAGCGTGGCATGGTTTTGAGGAGCACAAGAGGTGATACCTGATGCCCATCCTGATCAATGAAAGAACTGCTCGCTGTCTGTAGCATGTACGAACATATCGCCACATGGGACCACGACACTCTGCGAAAGCATGACTGATGCTACTTCATGAAAAGGAGAACGAGCTGCAAGGTTACTGGAGCATAATCGGCCACAAACATTGAACTATAGAGTGCAGCAACACAGGCAGTGACGGTCCAACACCACAAACTACTTGTACTATTTGTACCTGGGTTTTACCGTCTCTCTCCCACGCCGAGACCAAGAGACAGGGAACGGAACAACAGCTAACAACTCACTTCCGTCTGCGTAGCTCCCCTGCTCTGTCTTTCGCCGATGCCCCAAGAAACTCCAGCTGCCCACGCACCTCCAGTGGCGGTGGTCGAAGCAGAAAGCCTTGGACTCAAACGATCAGCCGGACTCAGGGAAGCAAAGTAATCATAACAACTTCTGCCACACCAAGGTCGGCACTTGCTTTCGTGGTTGAAGGCATTGGGCTCAAACATCTTTGGCTTGGCCTTCCGTGAGGAGGGGATGGATGAGGATTGCACTTGGATTTTGGCGTCATGCTTGCTCCTGAACGATACCTGGCCACTCAACTGAGACCATCGCCATTTGAACCGCATCTAATCAAGCCCGGCGGAAGCGCAGGGCAGGAAAGATCGGAAGTGTATGAATCCGGCACTTCGTAAGCAAGGACTCTGTCGAAGATACATCGTGAGAGTCTGCCAGGCCTCCAGCGAAGGTACACCGGAGGGCATCTGCAGGGTAGGGCCAGCCTCAAAGGTCGGAAGGGCGGGCTATGTGACTGTGGCCCATGATCCCCTCACATCCACCGTCATTGCAACCGATGAGGGCCGAGGGCTCGAAGATAGAGACGTTTGTGATAGGAAAGCCGTTTTGATGTCTCATGTGGAAGCATCGCTTGAAGATGGAGGCGCCGAAAACCTAATCAGGCACCGGAATGAGAACGATGTAAAGCCAAATACTCCCATGACATCACGATTCCTTCTTCTGCACCAAATTAGAATCCCAGGCCTTCAAACGGGAGGACATGAAGGCCTTTACATGCAACATCAGGACTACTTGAAGGATCATGGGAACTTAGTCTTATAAGTAGGGTTATAAGTAAGGTAGCTAAACTTAGAAGCTTATAACCCCAATTAAGGTACTCATAACCCTACTTACTAAGTCCCATGATCCTTGGCTTCGCGAGCCCATGCGCTCTTCGCTTCAACCTGTATGGGCGGCTTACCGTCGTCCCAAAGGCTCTTTCCAGCTGTGGATGCTTCACATCAGTAATTGCCATCACAAAACAACAGTATATTAATATGTGTATCTATAGTCTATGATAGTACATTATTATAGCATACTCTGATACACTGTCTAAGTGTAACACACAAGCGCACGCCTGCCAGTGATATGGCGGGTAGCCCTGCAAAGCCTTCCAGGACGGCTGGACGATTGGCCCCAACATATAATGTAGCGGCCCAATTGTAGCAATAATAAGAATTAAACAATATTCATAATAATCATAATCATAATATTCATAAACCGCAGAATGATTTGGTATTTGTGAGAGTATACTTCTGTTGAGAAACCCCAAGGAACATTGGGGTGGGGAGGCTTAAGCTTTGGCAATGACGAGTTGCTCTGAGCAGAAGGCTTGGAGATATCTTCTTCACAAGTTGTGTTGCGCTCCGACAGCTTCTCTTTGTCTGGAAACTGAGTTCCGAATACCCTTTGACTTTAAACCTCTTTTGGACGAAAGAGGCTGCTCGCTTAGCTTTTGTTGTCGACCTGCCCCCTAAGTCTCCGTGCCTGATGGTGTTCGTGCACTGAGGGTCTCAAGGACTTCTTCTGCACCACTCCGTGAAGACCTCCCTATAAAGCATAGTATACACTGTGATCCCCCAAACCCACACGCCACCGAAGCTCTCCGAACTGGTCCTTGACCCGGCCTGTTCAGGGTAGTGTTTCCACGCCTGGTAGTCGACCTGCTCGTGCATTCCTCGGGCCCATTGCACACATCAGAAACGACAGACTCAAAGACATAACCTGCGAAGGTCTGAAACAACATGCTGACAAACAGTAGTAACAGCGCGGTACTGACGATAAGAAAGATGTTGCTTTAAGTTGCCTCCACATAGCATGGTATACGTGTTGCTGCATGTGGCCCTTTCCGTGTTGTTCGTAGCAGCAGCAGCAGCGGCAGCAGCAGCAGCAGCAGCAGCAGCAGCAGCAGCAGCAGCCGCAGTGAGTGGTAACACGTCGAGCGTCGTCTTCGTGCAGATGCCCGTGCTTAGTCGTCGTCCTCACCACGGCCTCCGTCGTCGTCAACTCTTACCGAAAACCGCAAGCCTCATGAGACCTCGCGGATTGCCTGATGTCATTAGTATTCTTCGGACAAGTGCCAGAAGCCATGCACTCTCTGAGACCGGATTTTGGAATGCAGAATCGCTAGATGCTGAGGGCACTGACCGCCGTTCCACGAGGTCTCTGCCCTGCAAAGATCTGCTCTGACTGAGTGAGTCTAGGACTTCGGTTCTGAGGGATTTCTTTGCAAACAAGGGTTAAACTTTCCGATTGCCGGTTGTACTGACGGTTGAAATAATGAACAAGATGAGATGTGGCACCAGAAAAGACTCGACAGTTCAGGTGGCGATGTTTACGGCCCCGGAAGGGATAAAAATCGACGTCCAGAGAAGAGAGTCTAGGTCGCGCCTCGCATCATAGGTCGCCCAGCCATAGCCGGGATCCCACATCCTAGCTCAGTGCTAAAGGCTGCTTAAGGGCTCGAGGTCCGGTCTGGGAACCGGGAAGGCAGCATGTAGGCCAAGAAATTAAAGTGAGGTGGGCACGGAAGCCCTCACCCGGGGATCCCCAAGAGGTGTATCTGCAAGTTTTTAATTTTCACTGTGAAAGCACCTCTGTCGCATATCCTCGACCTGAATCTCCCCACACACACACACACATGCTTTGTGGTTTTGAGCTCCGACTTCCTCCCATCGAAGCTTCCGAAGGCTCATCCGGTGCGTGCATGAAACCTCCTCCCGCAATTTGAAACCCGGCAAACACACTTAGTTGTCACAACAGCGCGGAAGCTGTGTGTGCGGCCAATCTCCAGAGTTGGACCAATCCTCTCCCGGTGCCAGCATCGCGAAAGATGCCTCAAGACAGACTGCAATTCGCTGCAGGCTTCCGGCATAAGTCTCAATTAAGGCTATACGGGGCGTACTGACCGGAAGACTTAACAAATTTTGTTAGAATCTTAGAAGCCAATTCAGGTTCGGGGAAATGGCTGAGGGCCAAAACCTTCAAAGCTACCAAGCTCAGGATAGGTTGAAAAGGACTAGGCGCTGGGGCTTGGCTCTGCTCCATCAGGCCTGCAGGAGGACTGGTTGTACCGTTCGGAACAGTGAACGCGCATGCAGACAGCTTGCCAGAGAATGGTGAGTATCCTCCGTTCACATTTTATACCATAGAGCTCCCGTTACGTAAATAGTAGGTTGCAAATTAATCATAACATATGCAATCGAACAACCCGTTATTCAGGTGGCTGGAGCCCTTTTAGGATAGTCAAAAGCATCTCCAAAAAGAGACCCGCGCCTGGTCGTTAGGTCGGATAGCAAAGCGAAGGATTTCTCGCTTCGGCACTTCTGTGCAGACCAGAGGACAGTGTCACTGGCTACGAAATTAACGGGTAAGACTGAGATGACTGAGATGACTGCTTTGTCAGTTCCCTAAAGGCTGCACTGTCCTACTGATAATCACATGTAAGGCTGATCGCAGGGGTCTGCACGTGTATGCTGGTCAAAGTATGATGTTTCGTCGTGGAGCTGAGGTACGTGTGTCGTATTGAAGCAGGTTCGACATGCTCAAGACGGCAACACCTGCCGGATGCACAACTGTCGCACATTGATCTAGCACACCGAGAGGCAAGCTGTATGACAGACATGAAACAAGAACAAGGCCCAGTGAATTCAGGCCATTTCGTCAGGATCCTAGACTGCCACAAAAGATGTCGGATGTAGCTCGTTGCACATGCAGTCTCTACGGCGCCGACTATCTCTTTTGGCTTCAGCATGGTACCCCAAATAACCTCAGTCCACTCTTACGTAATTAATTCGTTGTCAATTGTCTTGTTTGTTAAACAACGAACAATGAATTGTCGCACCCCAGCCTGCACCTTTCGGTCAGGCGTATGGCTAGCATAACGCATTCCTGCAAACACCGCCCTCCCGAACATCTTGCCGTTGCGGAGGGAAGGATCACATTTTTGTTGGAGACTTTTGTCATTGGGGCATTGCATTGGGAAGCCACCATCTGGAAGATTCTGACCTCTGTAGAATGCTGTGATTCGGAGTTTTCTTGGCGCAGTTGCATGCCTTATGAGCGAACGCTTGCAGCCGGGTGCTTGAACTCTACTCTATATCGCTTTCCACGGCGTTCAGGCAATTTTCTTTAGAACCAATTGGGTTCCGCCGCAGTGGGACGAAGCTGGAAGCTACCACTCGCATGAATGCGCCTCAGTGTAATTTAGTGAAGCGGTTCAACCTGACGACCACGAACCTAGATCAACTCATCAAGAACAACAGAGAGCTTTTTCTTCAGGAACCGCGGCTGGCAAGCTGACAGCTGCCTATGGCTCCCTCAGTTTGCGTCCCGTCGGCAAAAGAACACCAGGAAGGCCTTCGCACAAATCTCGCCGATCCAACTCTCACACATTGTTCCTGCAAGTAGTTTCAGCAATGAGGCCGTCGAAAAGAACTTGGCAAACCATTAATTACTGGCCGTTTGGAAGCATATGAGACCGCGACACGAAGAAAACGCAGAACAACCTCCAGCTGGGCTGGTTTCACTCGTGTTTTCAAGCCAGAATATCTCCTTTCAGACCTTGCCTGCGTAGGCCATCTACTGAGTCTGATATTCGTTGTGCAGGCTTTCGATCTTCATCACTGTTTAGGAAAGATTCGGGCTTTCATCTTCATGCCTTTTAATGTTTCCATGGTGAAGGTTCGCGGACAGCGGTGCCTCTCCATTCATCTGCTCTTCCAGCACCTCTTCCGGGGCACGGGCTGGGAGGCAAAACAGATGCGGGTTATCGTTTCATGATCGACTCTTCGTCGAAGTGACGAACAGGGGGTTTGCCAAAACGGGTGACCCCAATAGAGTACCCTAACTAGTAGGATCCTCATCAAAAGGACCCCATCATAAGGTAACCCTAATTTTCGGAAACTCCCATGGCGACATCATGGTATCAGTGCTCCCTCCCGACCCCCAACAGATTGAATGTGCAGGAACGCACCCTTGTCGATCGCAGGGAAGCTTACAGTGGATCAAGGCAAGGTTCTAATCCGTTCCCATCTTCAACTATCAGCTGGCTGGTCGGACTACTGGCCGTACAGCGCCTCTCCAATCTTCCGATCTTGGAGTCTCGACAGCTTAAAGCTTCGAGCGGGCCGTCGAGAATGTGCTTCAAGAACACAAGCACAAACCCTCCCAAAACCCTCAGGTCGAACCCTAAACGCTGAATCGTTCCGAGCCCCGGAATCGGGGGCACCAGCCAAAACGGAGAACCTCTTTAAACGCGCCCGACCAGAAAGATCGTTACAAGCCACACAAACCCTGAAAGAGCCACTCCTAGTATGACCCTTACACTAGACCTCAATGCAAAGCCTAAACCCTAAATCTTGCAATGACCCTTACACCTCAGCCTAAGCCCAAAACCCTATTATGTTATGACCCGAGACCGCAACCTTTGCACCTCGATGGTGAAGGCAGGGCCGAGAGGTGCGGTTGTCGAGCCTCGATGTTGGCTTCGATCTAAACCGGACATAGCGATATCCTGCTGGGGTTTAGGTTGGGTACTGCCCTAATTCAGCAACAGTCTATAATCGGGCTACTCCTCGGGGCCTAACATATCCATCCATATTACAAACATGATTCACCTGTTACTGTGGGTCGGGGGGGGCAGTACCCAAGGTTTACGATGTGAAAAGTTAAGGGTTAGGGCTTAAGTTTAAGGGATACCACCGTTGCACACAATCAGGTGTCCAGATGAAGCCTGCAGCCCTCCACCTGCAGCCACCGGAAGCCTGAACCTGTGAACTTAGCCCTTTCGCTGTGAAAGCCTGACGGAGAAGATTCTCACAGCAACCCCTAAGGTTCCAAAAAACATGCGTTTGGGGCTGGGGGCCATGTATGGTTACGCATAGCCTGGGTTAGCACTTGCCGGGTCAGGCAGGAGTATCGGAGTATCAATACATAAGATTGGATGCCGAGTAGTTTCCAAAGACATGGAAGGCAAATATAGGGGCCTTATTATTTATAGTAGGGTTAATTCTGCTATAAAGATGATAATAAGGAACCCCCGAAATGGTATAAGTAACTATTTATCCCCGTCTATATCTCGAACAGAAAAGCCCATCCTTACGAACCCACCGAGGCTCCAGCAAAGCAGCTGTTGAAAGGCATCGAGACCTTCTCTTCCCTGCAGTCGAAGGCGGGATATCTGCTCCGCATATGCATGAGCATAGTAGTGCGCAGAGTTGTAGGCAAATGACGCTCTGCCACAGGTTTCGAGGTTGATTTGCAGGCTTGTGTTATGCAAATTAACTGATAGCTGCATTGTCAGCGGCTTATGGCGTTTACAGTTGTCCTGCAAGGGTTTCGGCCTCCTGAAAACCTGGCAGGCATCGAAGGTTCATGCCAGTGGGTAGCGCAAAGTGCCCGGCAAGGGTCAAAACCCCCAGACCTTTACGGTATGTGGGAGATGACCCTGCTTAAACACGATCCTTAGCAAAGTTGCGAGGTCTAAGCGACGACCTCTGCACCCCGGGCCAAAGGTGCCTTTTAAACACTATGAAAACGGAAACACGGTCTCCCTAAACAGGTGTGATGTGGTGTCGAGTGGCGGCGACTGCACAACAAAGTCCTCATCGTCATCATCATTGGCATCAATGTATCCCTAGACCCAAGAGCCCTTGAAACTAGCTCCCCAACCTTCTGTGCGCTGATCACGAGCCAGCCGGCAGGCCTCACCACAATGACGAAGCCAAAGAAAATAGACAAGATTCGATAGAATTGCCAAAATGTGAGGTTCCATCGCACTAGCAGGTTGTGTTCCTGCATAAAGATTTGTGAGGTTCTGGCTCTGGTGGCATGGTGCACGACATACCGGACGGCGAATAGGTAAATCGCTAGTTCAGGCTCCCATAGTCTACAATACCCACGAGATGGTAGCAGTGTTCGCTCGCGAAGTTAAGGAGTCGATCTTCAAATGTGAAACTGGCATCTGTTCGACCAAGCAGTTTCCACTCTCTGCTCATTTATTATGGGAAATCAGCTCTGTCAAGGTGCGTGTACCTCCGACCTGAACCAGCGCGCATCGAACATCTTGTCAACATGCAAGAACTTGAGGCAACCCGCGGACAACAGCTCCTGCATAACCGGATTCTCATCAAAAACCGACCTGGCCCAGCACCTGGCAAACCTCTCTGAACCCCAGGCATGGCGATTGCAAGCGCGGAGAACTCAGCCGAACCGTTCGTTTTTGCTCAGGGTTTCGACAATTACAGCAAATCCTGAATCCGACACTCCTGAAACTCCGCCGGGAAGAGGGAGATGGAGAGAGGGAGGGAGAAACAGAGCGAGAGAGAGAGAGAGAGAGAGAGAGGGGGAAAACAAGAATCCCCTTATATCACAATCAGGAGCTCTGTACATATTAAGGCATAATCGTCTATTCCTGAACGTCAGTGGTATTGAGCTCTGGTGGAATAGACAGGAGCCTCACCAGCAGGCGAGCCACGTGGGCCACCAATGGACCCCGGTCACCTCTGGCATCCGTGAATTCGGACTTCAAAGCTTGCAAAGGATGGTGGAGCCTCTTGAAACTTGTTTCTTCACGAGCTTGAAGCTCAAAGTAAGGAAACCACGATGTAAGTCTAAAGTTTAGAGAACATGACAGGGGTTTGAGATTGCAAGGAAGAAATAAAGAAGAGCTTGTCGAGTGAAAAGGCGACGTTCCTGGGCGACGACTGTCATTCCTCTAGCAAACCACCCCCCTTTATATATATATATATATATATATGTATATACATATATACGAACAATGCACATTGATCCCCAAGCGCTCAGACCGTTGCTGCTCCCGTACACTCCGATCCTGCGCCAACTCTGCTGGGGCAGCAGCCCCAGATCACATCCGAGCCGAGGATCAAGTCGATCTCCTGAGTCAAGGCTTGGTTTGGGTGTAAGGGCTAGTTTTTATAGAAGTTGACCTTACGGGTATGAGGACAATCATGCTCCAACTTTCTGGTTTCCCCTTCTAGGCTGTAGGATGGGGTTAGGGTTTAGAGGTTTAGGGTTGAGGGCTTGGTAGTTTAGAGTTTAGGGTGAATCCGAAGGTATGTGAGCTCCCCTGGTTCGACCTGACCTCGGCGGGAGGAGGCGCGGAGCCATCGAGCAGCTCCTTCAACAAGCGGCATAGGTTTTCTTTTTTGGGGGTTAGGGTCTTTTTTGGGGGTTAGGGGTCTTTTTTGGGGGTTAGGGGTCTTTTTTGGGGGTTAGGGGTCTTTTTGGTGGGTTGGGGGGTTAGGGATCTTTTTTGGGGGTTTGGGGTCTTTTTGGGGGGTTTGGGGTCTTTTTTGGTGGTTTGGGGTCTATTTTTTTTTTTTAATCGTGTTAAACCCAACCCTCCCATTGAGTTCCTCCAACTAGGTGTCGAGGTTAGGGGTTTAGGGTTTAGGGTGCACATGTTTTCTTCTTTGAGGTACACCTACTTTGCTTATAAGGGGTTCGTATACTAAGGATGCTCTACTTTTCAGGGATCGCACTATAGGGTACTATAGGGTCTCTTGATTTCTGAAGTCCCCTGTATATATATATATATATGTTTCTTTTATTTATGTATATGCATATACATACAACTATACACACGTCTATAATTGGTTGGGGTTTTGCAGTTTGCGGCAGAAACCACAAGCTTGGAACATTCTTATCGCAAACCACAGAAACCTGGAATAGTGGGAACACAAGGCACCAGAGATCCTTGTCACTGATGTTCCAACTCTCCGGCTACTGCCGGGGATCTCTTGAAGGGTTTAGGGTTTAGGGCTCGAGTAGTATAGGGGCCTTAATAATTAGAATAGAATTTTGGGGCCCGCTATACCATATCCAGAATAAGGAACCCCCGAAAAAAGGTATAGGTAATTCTTAAGGCCCCCATAGTACTTAAGCCTACCACTTAGGGCTCCTCTAATAGCGTTCCGTGACTGCAGCCCTGCGTTGGCTCTTAAAGTGGCGATTCGGCAGGATTGCCTGAAGGTGTGAGTAGAGGAAATTTGCGTGTCCGATCCAGTTGCCGTATTCATTGTCGGAAAGGAGCCTTAAGCCATTGCCTTGCATTGCTGAAGGAGTCAAAGATACGCGAAAGCTTCAGGTCTTCAAGTTTCCGGCATGACTTGTAGTGGCAGGACCGATAGAAGAACACCGTGGACTGAACTGCAGCCACTGTCCTCCCAAATCAGCTTGCAAACTTGCAGCTCCACCTAAGGAGAAGAGGCGTCAGGATCCGTCAGGCTTAGAAGTCGTTCGGCTCTTAAGGCGTTCATACAGAGAGTGCGGTGGAGAAAACCACACGACCAAAACTGCTTCCTGTAAGGCCAAAAACATGGAAGCTTGGAGCCCTGCAAGCTGTCAAAAGTCTGTATGACTTCGGAAGGTAGGATTTATCTATCTAGACACGTATAAATATATGTATTTGATTGTTTATGTTTGCGCACATCCTACTGTGTCGAATGTCTATACACTTGCGCGTGATTGTGTTTCACCGGTGTTGCAAGTTCATTTGTTCTTCTCTCTCCCTCGCATTCCCTCGCTATGCATATCTACCTACTTCTCTGACTCTGCATGAATTACCAGGTTATCTATCTATCTATCCGTCTGCTCATCTATCTAGCTATCTAGCTACCTGACTATCTGTCTACCTGTCCATATATATATATATATATATATGCACACACACACAGAACCCTCTCCGAATATACTGATATGTGTATACATACATGTATATGTATATATGTATATATATATATACACACATACATACATATACATATCCATATGTATACGTATGTGTATGTGTGTACATATACGAGTTTGTATATATGAATATATATATATATATATACACATACCTATTTTGCATGCATCTTCTTAGCCGTATACACGAGTGTTCGTGGCAGCCTTCGAAAACACATGCTTCACGACTTGCAGCCACGCGGCTGGAGAGACTCGATCGGCGTTGGCTCGGGCATTCTCCTCGAGGTTGGCGAGGACAGCCTCCGCCATGATTGCGACATGTGGGCCTTCTCCTTGTAATTTAAGGTGGCATGCATTTCGGGCTCTGGTTTCACCTGCTGTCGCTGCAAAAAGTCAAATGCGATGAATCGAAATCATCATTGTGCACGTCCAGGGTGCAGCAAGAGAGAGAGAGAGAGAGAGAGAGAGAGAGAGAGAGACAGAGACGAGCTACCTGTTTCTTTTGTATCCTACAGGCTGTTGCTCAGTGTCAGCGCATCCACAGCGGAGGAGATGAGGCAACTGGAAGCCTCAGCCTTCCTTCATCATGAAACCAGTTTTACTGTTATTACTATTTCCATATTAGTTTTACAATTATTGTATTACAGATCTTATATTTACTAGTTATAAGATCTGCTAACTGGAAGTCGAAATCCTGCCAGTACTGACTCAGCTTCTCGGGAAACAGCAGGCCGAACAAGTCTATGCGACAAGCGAAGCGCCAAAGAAAGTTTGGCCAGGCTTCTGCTTTTATAGTCCACTACGAAGCACTTTGGTCCATGAGCCTCAGATCATGCGGTGGACTCCCACATCCTTGAACATGTACTCGTAGCTTTAAATATTATACATATCAACAGCCGCGAAGGCTCATTCAGATTAGGACAATATCACACAGGCCGCGGCTCACTGGCTATGCGGGGTTTTCTTCCGCTCCATCTGATGCCCTTTGGGCTCCTGGCCCCGAGGGCTTTGGGCCTGGTGCTGGTACCGAAAGACGATGTCACGGTGTTGGCGGACGGATGTGCCTGCGCCTCTGTCTGGGTCTTCTAAAAGAGACACCTGCCTGACCGCACATACAGTACATACATGGGCACGAACGAAATATGCATGCATGTAGGGCTCGTGACACATGCCAAAGCTTGGCGCCGCCCAGACTTCATCATTGCTGCGCTGAAAGCACTGGAGACGCACATTTTGAGTTTGAGGATTTGGAGTGATGCAGAATTGTTCCTGTTGCTCTGGTCTGCAGCATCTAGGTGCAACTCCAGGCTCGTGCAGGGCCTTGCAGACTTGCTTCCGGACATGTCCGATTCATGGTGGTCTTGGTCCGGACTCCATGGCTCTCACGGCTCGAGCTCGTTGGCAAGGAAGGCCGGGACCTGGAGAGGAGCAATTTCATCGTCAACTGTTTGTGTCAAACGCGCCGTGGCATGGAGAATAGAAGGGTAAGTGTCTTGCTTATGAAGGATGCTGAGAACATTGGAGTCGGTCGAGCAAGTCTGGGGCTCGCTCAGCCGCTGCGCATGCAATCAAAACAGTCAGCTACTCTACACAGCAAGAGCTACAGCTACTCCCTGAATGCACATCGGCTTCCAGCCATTTTTGAGCTAAAGCTTTTCGTAGCGAGCACGGCCTCGTCGCGTCTCCACCATCGTCTGCTGTCGAACTTCATGGGGTCCAATGTGCTGTGTCACGAAGCTACACCTCAGAATGACGGTGCGGTTTCAGGTGGGAGATTCAGAAAAGAAAAACAAGAGACCCAAATCCAAACACCAGATAAAGAGAGGTTCTGGCTCAAGACCCCTAAACGAAGTGCTTTTCTGGAAATCCGCAAAAAAAAACCCTATCTCCAAACATTCAATCCTGAGGTTGGGTCCGTCAGTTCTCCAGACCGTGCTTCTCGCAGTGGGCTTCCTGGAAAGCCACCTTGGGCATCACGTGTCAGGAATCGCGAGTGCATGCATGAGCACTGACCCGAACAGTCTAGGCCTGACATAACAAACCCTTTATGCAACTCCTCTGTATTTCAGACGTCATGTTTGCACGCATGTATACAGGCGCACGTAGGCCAACACATGCGTCATTGGTGAGAATGCCGCTCAGGTACACATAAACGCAATGATGCTGCCCGTGAAGGTTGACTGAGAAGGGATGATGCAGATATTCACCTCCTGCGCCTCATCATCGCGACGGTTACCATCAGCATCGTCGTCGTCCTGACCAACCTCACCTCGCGATAATCATGCCAGCCTCCCGTCATCATCATCACCGCATCATCATCATCATCATCATCACCGTCATCACCGTCATCATCATGATCGTCCGCATCATCATCCTCGTCATCAGTATCACCCGCACCAGCATCATCACCACCACCAACAACAACAATACCGTCATCTGCTCTGGAAACAACACCACCGTCTTCATATCCGATCAAGCGCGACAGCATGTCATTGCCCGAGACTTCCTCATCATCATCATCATCATCATCAGCATCTTGACCTCAACTTCCTCGCCGCCAGCGGCGCAACTTCCGCGGCTGTGACGACTGACTGTAGGCCGATGACGAAGCGATCACTACACTATTGCCATTACTGCTACTCCTACTCCTACTGCTGCTACTACTCCCACTCCCATTCCCACTCCGACTCCTAGTCCTGCTCCTACTCCTACAACGACGACTAGTTTTACTACCGCCACTACTACTATTACGACGACGACTACTACTACTGCTGCTACTACTCTTGCTCGTCCTCCCCCTGCTGTTGTTGTTGTTGCTGCTGCTGCTACTTGCTCGTGACCCTTCTGCTCGTCGTTATCCTCTACAGTCTGTTGGCCGTGGTACCTGATGACCGTCGTCAGTATTAGCGAACTGTTGAAGGGATGGTGCTCGTTGATGCTGCTGTAAGGACAGGGCTGTCTGCATCTCCTGGAGACGTGAGATTGCCCTGTGGACGGCGAAGCCACTCTCCTTGTCATGAAACAACGAATATGGGTTTTGGGTGCAGGGATGCAGCGCTTGTATCAACAAAGTGTGTATCGACCATTTGCAACATCAGACGTAGGCCTGGCTGAACATCAGGAGACGCAGTCAAGACCTCTTACATATTCCTAACGGCCGCCCTGCATAGGGTCGGCAAGTATTGGCCTTGCAGATACGCAGGATATGCTACAGTACCTACACAGGAATCCGGCATCAGGCTATCAGCTGGGGTGCGGCCAGTAACTAGTTGTCAGCTTCCATACTAGAGCGACATTCATCAAATCCAGATCTCATCATCGTTAGCTCTTCCAGATATTGTCATCTCAAACATATTCATATGCGTTCGCAGGTTCGATAATATGGCCGTTGCGTGACTGCTAGCGTGCTGCAGCAATATACTTCTCTCGGAAATGTCAGGTGTTGATGCCAAGTAGTCTGCCAGAGGCGACATTCATAAACCAACATGGACAGCAAATCTAAAGCCTAAGCCCTACGGGAACAGGCCCACCCGAAACACATTGAGACCTAAATCCAACAATTGGTTTACCTTGTTCCCCGGCAGCTCGCTCCTTCAAAGAGGCGACCGCCGCCACGAACACGCCTGCGTGACATCAGATTCATGCACCACTGTCGCTTACAGCCTTAGATAGCTATTCTCGTAGGTATTGAGATCATCTACTTTCAACATGGAAGGAATACAGTTTCATCGTCGTCATCTGCCACGCCACCTGCATTAGTAACAACAGCACGCCTTGATGACGTTGCACTTTGTATATTAGTTCGACTGTTTTCCTTACTGTTGACGTGAACGGTGACTCTTCTGAAGATGAGAACTTCATATCCATCTCTCAGCTTATTGTCACGGCTGGGAGGGCCAACCCAATTTCAACTTGTTTGATTGTCCCAGCCAGAATCAGCACAGTATCGTTGATTTGGCTGCTAATTGCTGATTTGATGAATGGCCCATAACAGAGCTATATTGTCTATGATTCATGTATCTAACACAGTGGTGCCCGCGGTGTATAATTGCTGCAGATAAAACGATAGTGATGTTGACAAGCGAGCGACGATAACAACGGCGACGAACATGACCGCACCCAAAATGATGGCGGAGCTAATTACCGCAATGACCGTGATGGTGATTATGTTGCTGAAGAGGGATATGATGATGATGATGATGGTGATACTGATGATGGAGATGATGATGATGCTGCCGAGACCTGAAGACGATCATGGTGCTGGATCTATGTGTTTTGGCATGTTTTTTCATTGAAGATAAACATGGGGAGCATGAACAACTTGGTACAGGATGGCATTCGCGTGCTGGTCTTGGTGTGAATTACTGGTACTATCCAAACACTGCTGCTGCCTTGTCATGATTGGACTGAAACACAGAGCAAAGCGCACCTTTGATGGCCTGTTGCTCGGAGGTCGGATCCGTCGACTCCCATGTAAACTGGGAGATGCGGCGTCGATCATCCCAGCCTCTTTGGACGCTGCTGTTTTAAGAGGTAGTAGTTACCCTGCACTGTGCAGTCCATGGAGTTATTCACAAAATACGATTAGGCTCCCGCAAGTTGCTGCTGCGACGCCGCAGTTGCAAGGGAGCCAAACCTTCAACCTTGACTCCCGAACCAAGCAACAACGAGGATGCGGCGGAGCTTGTGACATATATCCATGTGTACACATCTGTATATATATATACATAGGTTGTACATTTATGTATGTATATATACATACACACAGCACTAGACTCCGGATGAGTTCAGGTCAAGCATGGTCGGCGAGAGCAAACTCAACGACTACACAGTGGCAGATCACCGTGAACACGCTTACATCTCAGCCACATGAACCACCCCCGCCTTTGGACACCTGGGGCAGACTCCTGCGGGCTCGCCGCCACAAGACTACTGTCGCTGCAATGCAGGCAGAATCGCAAAAGCTCAACCTGTGGTACACTGGTACACAGTGTTCAACTGCTCTGTTCTTTTTCCCGAAGGTTTGGTCATCATCCCCGACATAGAGGAGTTGTGGGACAGGATTTGGGGAAGATTCTGGCGTGCGTAACTTGCAGAGAGACGACCACCTGTTTGTCGAGGGAACATTAACTATTTTACGCAACTCATGCAGAAACGAAGTCTATCCTTCATGGGACTCTGAGCCTCAGAAATTGAAGTAATGGCAATACCCTAAGGCCCCAAAGTAGTTCCTTTTGGGATTACCCTACAGCAAATAATATATGAATATATGAAGCCCTAAAAGGAACTACTTTGGGGCC